CCTTTTATTTAACTTATCTATTTTATATTGTGTTGGCACACACAATAACTGGAAAATCATTGTACTACAGCTGGGGTGTATAGCATTTAAAATTTCACATCTTTAAAGACACAATCTTTTTAGAGTATTTCAAGATTCGGTTTTCCAAGTCCCAGCAATGGCCCCCCACTTTTTTTGCGCAAATAATTTAGACAGGGAAAGTAATCGGCAACGAGTTGGTTTAGAGGCTCGGACATACGGACAGGCGGTGGAAATTTAAATGAACTTGGGGAAAATAAAAACCCACTCGTACGCGAGGCCAATGGACGGGACGAAAACCCCCCACCCTCAGTGTTCGCGAAGGAAACTGTAAGACTTCATCGGTGGAGAGAGAAAAGTGGGGGTGGGCGGTGAGTTGGGACCCCCATTTCCACACCAACAGCTGTTGCCAATGACCCCCAGGAATCGAAGAAGTCGCTTTTCCATCGGCCTTATTAAGACTGTTTCCCAATTAACTGGTGCGAAGTGAGGGATCTCGTCTGGTTGGTAAGAAATACTTCTTGGGTTACATGCTCAAAAAACCAGGTAGCTTATTGGAAAGTATTTATTTAAAAGAATAAAGAAAAATGTGATAACAAAATACGAGTTTATCATATTAAAATTATAAACAAATGATTATTATTTTTAGTTCAATTTTCATACTGTAGAAGTCGAAAACAGTCTGGATTTTTAAAAATAATTTCTAAATATCTAGCAATAGATATTTTGACCGTTAGCTCAACACAACCAAATTTGATTTAAGTCTAGATTGAAATTTTAAAACTTTTTGACTTTTTGAGTCACTGTGACTGCTTAACCTTTGGCTTATTTACTTTTGGCACTTATTTTTGTTTTGTCGCCCCCTGCGAACTATCGCTTTGAACGATAATTACATGTCGTCTTAGGCGCGCAGAGGGGGGAAGTGCGAAGGCATGGACGGCGGGACGGGAAAATTGAGCAGGGGGGATGGGGATGACTGGCAAAGTGTTAGTTACATTCTGGCCCAGCACGTAATTTGCTGATTTTGAATTTCGCCAGGCGACGGCGGCAAATGAAATGCTCCTCATTCTGCATTTTAATGCGCCCCAGACTGACAGCCATGGGCGGGGGTTGTCAGGGGGGTGGCAGAGGGGTGGCAGAGGAGGAGGAGCAGGGCAGGGGGTCTTGATCCCTTTCGCTTTGCATTTTGTTATATTCTTATTTCACTTTATATCTCTTTACTTTATTTTTTCGGAGGGCTAAAAACTATTTGTTGCTGCCGCTGCTGTCAACTCCAGGGGCGGGGTAATCGGAGGGGATACATTGAGTCAGCATCCCCCTTTCGCATCCCGTTTTTGGCTGGAACATATTTGCACTGTCTGGCAATTTTTAAGCAATTTCAGCATGACTTGGGTGGGACATTTTCTCCCCTCCACCCCACCAGCCCCCTTCTCCACTCCGCCCCTGTCCCCCTGGCCAGCAAATGCTGCATCCTGTTTAAATGTTTTCCCTTTCCACGGCTGCTTTTCACAGCCAGGCGAAAAAAGGAAAAGGAAAAGGGAATAAATAAAACTAGGAAGAGGAGGGTGCCGGTCGCGTCGTTGAAATTAAAAATAAATTTCACAGTAAACACACATAAAAAGAGACGCTGGCATTGGCCCCTGTACCGAGGGGGGGGATTGTGGGGTATATGTTCATATGGGCATTAGGTGCAGCCAAATTCGATAGTTTGGATGCCCTCGAAAATAAATATTTTATTTGAAGCAGCAACGAAATAAGGGATTAATAAGTTATAATATTATTTATGAGAATATCATCATCTTTATTATTTGGATTTTAGCTTACTTTATGTACTTATAAAAAAAAAGAAATAAAATAAGAACAGTCGAATAGTTATGAAAATATTTCGTTTGCAAAAGAATTATTAATAAATAGGCAATACAAAATACGTAATAAAATATAAATAATATAGTTGGTACTCCTTGAATTCTTTCTTGACTTGAATTTATTTTAATTACCAATAAGCATGCACATATAAAAAACTTAGTTAATGCATTAAAATAATCAAAAACCAAATCAAAAATTTGTTTTTTGATTTTGCACTGACCAATCAACTGAGATAGTCGATAATCTCCCGATTTTCCAGGGTGCCGCCCCGAAAAAGGAATGAACAAAACACGGGAATTTCCAGGGGAACACGGCGCAGTGCAAAAAAATAAAAGGCCGGACGTTCAAAAATAGTTCGAGGAGTCTGCGAGACTCCCGGGGGAAGGACGACGGACGACGGACGACGGACGTCGGATGGAGGCGCTTCTGGAGATTGGCGGTGTCTTTCTGCCCTTGAATCCCAAATCCCGGAGAATCGGGACCGGAGAAGCGTGCCAAAGTACAGCTGTCCGGGAGATGCAAACTCGGATGGGAATGGCGATGGAGTGGGGGCTGTACAGACTACGGAATACGGAATACGGGATGTGGACTTCGGTTCGGAGATGGGGGAACTTGTAACATACACGTCTGAGTGCTTATATTTAGCAGCCTGGCAACAATGATGGAAAATCCAAATGGGGATGACGGCGAATGTCTGCATCTGCAGTTGCCATGGAGAGTTTTCCCCCAGCTTTCCTCGCCTTTGCCCCACCTTAATGAGCAGCCAAAACTGTCAACTAACAGGGAAAAACAGGGCGGAAGGTATCGCATTTTTGATTTGATTTGATTTGATGGTATGGATATTGATTCGGTTCTCAAAAGGGATTTTAAAAACATTGTCGGGTTATGGTGCGCCAAAAATAGACAAAGGCCAAGACAACTAAAAAGAAGAGGTAAAAATTGAAGAGCTATGTGATATTATACAAATGTATGGTATATAAGACATGATAAACATGCCTACCATAAAAACATAAATTTATTTGAAAAACGAACTAAATTATTTCACTAGTCCAAGTGCTATTATTTATATTTTGAACAACCATTTTAAGACCACAAATTAGCTCAACAAATTTTTTTGTAGGGTTAAAAAACTCTTCTCGAGATAAGGAACTGCTTGAAATTTTTAAGGACAAAGTGTGTGTGGAAATTTACGATTTTAATTGGTAATGCCACTGCATTTCAATCTATGTAAATTCCAGCAAACCCTATCGGTGCTGGAATTTATGGGATCTCGCCATGATCTTTCTTATCGAAAAAGCCTTTTTGTTTTTCTTCGTTTTGGGTGTTTATAAACAATTTTCGGTTGTGCATATTGAAGTCGAGTAGAGGAGTGGAGAAGTAGAGGAAATACCCTAACTATCCGGCGTTCTGTCTTTATCTGTCGGATTTGTGTAAATTTAGAGCGCATTGCATTGATATTCCCATACGGCGGCCATAAATTACACGACAATTACTTGGGGAACCGGAGAAAATCAGCGGAGCTCGGAAAATCTCCCCCTCGGAAAAGTCAAGAAAGAGGCGCGAAGAGAGAGAGAGAGAACCGCAGAAGTAAGCGGAAAATTGGAAGAGAGCTGAGCCGAGCCGACACTTCATCACGGCACCCCCTCCCTTTTTCCATTTTCCATTTTCATTTTCCGGCAGTGCCTCCCTCACACGCGTAGTTTAAATTGCGTTCGCAGCAATCGTGCCATAAATTTCCCCCCGAAACTTGTTTATTTTGGTCTTCACATCTCTATGTCTCCAGTGCCGAAATCTTCCCATCCAGCAGTCCATCTTCATCGCAGCTATCTTTGTATTTTGTATCTTTCTATCAGCGCATCTCAGTATCTCATGGATCGCCCGGCCTGTGTATCGATTCAATTATGGAGAATCTTAGAATCGACCCATCATGCAGTCGATTGATTAACAAGTCGCATTCGGTAAATGGCTCCCACAGCGCAAAATTTACTTAATCACACTTAAATGGATACATAAAGTCTTTAAATGACAAATTAAAGCTATATCTTAAAACATTACACATTTCCAAGCTTAAAATCAATTGTTGTTGCAATTATTTATTTGGTTCGAAAGTGGTGTCTTTTTCGGTTCAGTGTGGTTCCCATGAGACTTCCACAGTTTTGTCAAATCAAAGCCATAGAATTTTCCCCAAATTGCTCTCCAAACGCCGAAGTGGACCATATGGCGCACTTTGCAGCCCTTTCGGCATTCCACAATCCGAAGAAAGACTGCAGATTTCTACCAAAAAGCGAAGAATTGTGGGTGCCAAGAGGAGAAGAAATGGAGAACAGCTGCCGTCCCGACAGCATTGACCTCTCGGCGGCCAATTCTCCGTCTTTATCTCAATCTGCAGCTTTAAAAGGGTTTGCTTTTTTATTTAATTTTTTTTTTATCTTCTCCGGCAACAGTTGGTGGTCCACACTTTCGGCGGAAGGTGGCGCTGCTAACAGCAAATCAGAGGGCAATTAAGGTGATCCAGATGGCCCTAAAAAAGAGGATATCCCCAAAATTACTTGCACCGAACAAAATGTTGGCTAAAATTATCGTACAATAGTTAATACTTATAGTTCAAGGAAAAATGTGTTTTCTCTGCTACAAATTTGTTCAAAATAAAATTGAATAATCTGTTATTTTTGTTACTCAATTATTTTTAAATTTTTCAAAATAAGTTATAAGAATACACAGAGAAAATCTGTCAAAGTTAAAGGGGCAGAAACAGAGTAACTCAACTATTAACTTATACTTTTTAAAATGTGTATACTCTGTATTCCCAAATAAAACGTTAAATTTGAGCTATATTTACTATACATTTTTAATTGCTATTTCTTCAAGTTAGCAATAGAAGAAGATTTTAATTTGAGAAAAGGAACAGAATTCTTCCATTGTTTTTGGTCAATTCAAATATAGAAAATTTGAAATGAATAACAGAGGTTGCATCGAACCGCGCTGTTGGCACTGTTGCGCGCTGTTAAATCGCGAACGCGGCGCTTGCAGCCGCAGCGAACACGTTGCGTCGCTTTGTTTTGTTCGAGGGCAGCCGGCGTGGCCAAAGAAGTCGCATTTTCGGATCGAGCTCGCACTTCGTTCCGTTCGCTCGTCCCGTTCGCTTCGTTGCGGCGGAAACTCCGAAACTCCGAACTGCAAGTATCCCACAGATACTTTCTCGAGACCCGAAGACGAGAATTCGAATTCGCCCGAGCATAAAGCAAACCAGACTCTCAATAAAACATAAACAAAACCGAAATCTATTCAAATACAATTTTTTTTTTTTTGTGGTGCAAAACGCAAGCCAAAAAAGTATATTTTGGTGTGGATTACCAGTGGAAAAGTGAGTGCTAAACATGGATTAAACAAGGCTAAAATAAATAAATAAAAACAAGGCCCAAAAAAAAAAACCAAACAAGCTGAAAATTGTCACACAACGATTATGGATTAGTGCCTGTGATTGTTCAAAAGCAGTTCAAAATATATACACAATATATAGGACTAAGGACCCCGAGATAAAAAATAACATAAACTGTGAGTAAAAATAAAATTAACTACAAACTAAATCTAAAGAAAACCGCTTTGACTTGGTGGCTTTTTTTTGTGTGCAAACTGCAACAGCTGCTCCCTCAGTTTGACCTTTTCGGTTGATTTTGTTTATAAAATACAGCTGCCCAAAGTCTCCGCCCCTCAAAAGTTGAGCTTTTGGCCACTTTGACATTTTGGTTACAAGTGTTTTCGTTGGTTTGTGTTTTGGTCAGGGAAAATATGTGTTTTGAAGTTGCAATCAAGGCAAACGTAGAAAATGTGATATCGGTCTTCTGTAGCTATAATCATTTCATTTTATAATTACCAAAAATGACTGCTCAAACTAGGACAACAATACAACAAAATTTTGAACGATTTTTGAGATGAAAATATGACTAAAGGTTCTTCGATGTAGTTTAAAATTAAAATGTCTTGAATTGAATTAAATAAAATCAGTTAATTAAGGTAATGATTAAAGCATGTTTACGGCGTTTTTTTTAATTGTTTTTTGTTTATATATATATACATATATACAAGCGGATCGTAGTCCTAAAACTTTAAAACCCAACGAACTGGATCTTTACTTTTCCCTTTCCAATAATAGATCTTCTTTTCCAGACCTTGGCCATCTAATTAACTTTTTCTGACCATTTCAACCGAGGGCATCTTCAGAAAAAAAGTGCTCTGCTTAACTGATTCGATCTTTGTCTCTCCTTGGTTTTGCATGATTTATGATTACTTTCAAACAAAAAAGTTGAAGACACAAAAAGTAATAAACAAGAGAACGATTAGCATTCCTTGAGTATTTGAGTTTAAAATTGAAAAAAAAAAAAATAAAAACATTTAATGTATGCGTGAAGAAAAACAAGATTTGCTGCACTGAAACAATAGTATTTTGTAAATCATATAAAGAGGTATTCCTTTTAACTCAAAAAGTTTAAGAATCACAAAAAGTTTAAGCAGACACACATATAAATAAGATTATATATTTTATCTGGATCTATAAATAAATTAAATATTCAAAGCTAAGTTAATAAGATATGCTAAGCGTTTGCAAAACGTCGCAATTAAATTAAATCATTTCTAAATAAATTCGAAATTCAACCTCGAGCTTTTATCTAAGTTATATGCAATTAAAATCAAAAAAGTTTTATATTTCATGATCATTTTTTAATTTATTTGAATGAAATGGTTTTTGATATTTTGTATAGTTTAAAAACTTTATGTTTAATTCATTTTCTATTCACTTCTTTAAAAATTCGTATGTTCATTAGCTTGGCCTGAAACAAAATATTTTATTTCCTTAGGATATTTTTTCTCTGTGTAACCGAAATACTGTGCCTTCAGCTGTGAATCGAGAAAATGTAGCTGGCAGCTTCGGTGTTAAAGACACAGATGCGAGTTGAAGAAGCTGCAGGCCCAGAAGCTGCACCAATACAGTCACGCATCGCTCACAGATACTCACGCACAGGCACACGCACACAGATACAGATGCATATGTGTATGTGTATGTGTATCTTCAGGCACACGCACCTGTCCCTTGTCATTAAAAAAGCAAGCAAAGTTTCAATCTTCAGCAGCTACTTCTGTGCCAAGCTAACCTTTTACTTATGCTGCTGTTTCCTCTTGCTCCATATGTGTGGTATGAATACACAGAAAATAATAATAATGCGTCTTATTACTTATCTTGAAATTAAGCTGCTAGGAATTCTTCTTTTTCGTCTTTAAAAAGAAATATCGAAATTTGAAAAGATTTATTTCAATGGTTAAATCTTTTAAAACGATAGTCAATATATTAATGTAAATATTTTAGGGCCTCATAATGATACCTTTTAAAAAATCCCGACTATTTACGCTCTGTGTGTTTGAGAGTGTGTGTGTGTGTGCCGTTTTTTGATTTTATAATTTGGCCCAATTTGCTGGCATTGCAAATTGCTAAAAACGTCTGAAACAATCGACAGGGAAATGGTGAACGGGGCTGGGGTTTTGGCGCAGGGCTGCAAAAAGGGGCGTTCAGGGGCGATGGGGGTGGGCGTGGCAGGAAGTGCAACATGCTCATGTCGCAAGTTGTTGTTGCCTCATTTTTCCCGTACTTTTGTTGTTGCATTTTTTTGCTGTGCTATCGATTGGCGAGGCCGCATTTGTTGGATCGTTTTGACGCGTCCTCGTCAGCATGTCGAAACTTATTTTTCCTTTTCAATTTCGCCCTGCGATTTTGCATTATTTTTTTGTTGTTTTTTCCCTGCCTGTCGCTTTGTTAGTTCTTTGCATGCCACAAATTATGTTCGGCACCCCCTTAACCCGCCCTAACCCCCCGCCCAGCACCCTTTAACCCCCGCCGGCCCACCGGTTTCACCTTGAGAGCGGAGCTGTCAGGCTTTTTGACAGTTTCTGCCGTATCGTTTCCACTGATTTGACTGCTTCACTCATCTTTTGTGCCCCTTCGTTCCGGCCCCGGCCTCAGTGGGTTAAGGAAAGTTTTCCGTTTAATGAGATTTTGAGCTATTTATATTGGGCATTTAATAGAGCTCATTAACAGCGAACTCTACTTCAAAATGAACAGGAGAATCTTTCCCCCCCACCCCAAAATGGTTGTCTATTTTGTTTGAAATTCCTAAGAATAAGTTCTGTAAAATATATAACACAAAGTCAGAAAACAGAATTTCCTACAATTATTGTAAATTCGACAAAAATATATAATTTAATTTTAAATACACATACCTTATAAGCTTTAATTGTTGTGTCAAATACAGTTGGTACGCTATCGAATAACAAATTTGCTATTTTAGAAATAAGCAAAATATTTATTGCTTGGGATTTGCATCTGCATCTCTGTCTCTGCCAGCTAATTTCTCATCTCGTTTAAGAAAAGAAAAGCAGCCGAGGGCATTGAAAGGCAAACAATTTATCCCTTGGTTAATTTGGTTAATTGAAGACAATTGAGAGCCGCTTTGCAGTTCATTAAGCCTCATCAGCGTTGAGAACGGGCCCAGAATCCGGCATTCAGTGCTCGGTATTCAGAATTCAGCTCCATTTCCATCTATATTTCCATCTACAGATCTGTTGTCTTGTCGCCAGACTAATTAAAATATTTGCACTCAAATGCTTAAGCAATAAATATTTGTCAAGCCATCATCATTAGAAGGGAATGGTGGGGGGTGGGGAGTGGGAAGTGGAGGTCTCTGATGGGGTGTTCTGACCCCAAAAACATAGCACTCTACTTTCGTGGAGGGGGGGAGGGGGGCAAAATGGAAATGGAAAATGAAAATCTATGAGAGGCGGCATTTTTAAAGTGCGCCACTTTGGCCTGCATTTTTGATGAGCTTTAATGGCGCCGCCTTAATGCAAGTGAAGCATGCAGGAGGGTGGGGGGCTAAGGGGGTTGGTCCACCCCCGCCCATGGTTACCCAGCCCCCTTCCACCCATCGAGAATGCCAATTAATAGTCATTGATGGGAAAAGTTGGATCCAGAGTGGAAAGCCAGGGAAACTGAAGTGTGCCGTCGCCTTGAAGAAGCAGAAAGGGGGGTGGAAAAAATTGCAGGGGCATTTGGAAGCCCCCCCTCCAGATTGGGGGTTAAATTGGAATACGGGCGGCCATGTGTGATTTCATTCCCTTGACTTTTCGGTGGTTGGCAGACAGCCCAGAAGAAAAGACCCAAGAAATTCGTATCTCAAATGGGGACAAACATCAAATTAGTCCAAAAACGAAAGAGGGTGATTTGCAGGGTGTGGGGAAAATAGCCAAGGACCGAACTCAAATGGGCATAAAATTTCCTTATTGTCGGACAATAGTTGAAATAAGTAGACGGAGTCGAAAAATGCATGCCAGATGGCCCAAAAAAAGGGGGAATTTCCAGGGGGTAAAGAATAAAGAATCTAAAGCGGAAGCTGGGCGATGCTTAGATGAACAAAAGTGTCTGAAATGGCGGGATGAATTTTTTTCTGCTCTAATTAAATTGTATTTGGAGTGAAAACTTAACACAAAAGTGTTCAAGATAAATATAGTGATTGTGCAGGCAAATTATAATTCACAAAACATGATTTGATGAATTAGCTAAATTATATCATTCTTTGTTAAATAGTATTGTATGTCATTGCGCTTCTTCAATGTAAAGTTACTAAGTTAAAATAAATATGTATAAAAAACTCATTAGCTTCAGATTCGAAATTATCCTTAGCACTAATTAACTTAATCCGCCGTACTTTCTTTGGTTCCTTGGCAAGTCCCCAGATTTACACCCTCCAAGGACCATTTTCATCAGCAATTGAACGCGACGCGAGCTGGAAGAAAAAAGCGCTCAGAAATTGAGAGAACTTATGAAAATGTTTTACAATATCCTTTTCGTGTTATTACAAGTGTACGTCCTTGTCGCCAGCTTTGTCAGAATGTCTGGCAACGCTTCTTGTGCACATTTCCCCCATGGTTTTCCCCCCGCTTTTCCCTCCGCTAAGCGTCTTCTTGGTGTAGAACATCTTCACTCCTTTGGGGCGTCGTCAAGTTCGCGCTGCGTTTGAATATGTCATTACTCGCTTGGCCCCCGCATTTTCCCCAACAATGTTGACGCGTTGTCGTTCCCCCCCCCAAAACCACCCCCTTTCACCCACTTTCACCCCACGTGTGGGTGGTGGTGGTGCTGGTTTCCTTTTCTTGGCCTGACTCCGCTTGGCCCGTCTGACGGAAGTGACAGTTGAACATTCATTCATTCATTCATTCGCTCGCCGGCTCATTCATTCAGCCAGCACTCAGAGAACCAGCTAAAAAAGAACCAGCCAACGAATAAGCACTCCGCGGAAGGGGAAAAATCAAGCAAGACAGCCGGCAAACGGGAAACATAAAGGAAAAGCGAGGCAGTCGCAAAAAAATACAAGAAGCGCTCGGGAACCTACGAAATTTCTATGGCAATTTGGCCAACAACGTGAAAAATATCTAGAGATGACAGCGTGATGATGGTGATCTTGAAATTTATATTCTTAAAAATGCTGAATTAATCTTAATCAACTCTCTTTTTGCATTCAAACAAATTGCAAATTTTTAAGCATCTTTCAGAACAGTTTAAACTTAGTAAGACCAATTGGCGAATTCTTAAACTCTACCTTTGTTCAAACACTTAATTCAAGTTTAAACGGGCCGCGAATTCTTAAGCATCGCCCTGCGATGTTAGCTATGTTGCATTTCCAAAAAAAAAAACTAATTAAAAGATGATATTGATATTTCTTGACTTTCGTGCCCCAGTCACGATGTCATCTCAATCGAAAAAAGAAGTAACCATGTGCGATGTCTTCGTCTCCGACTTCTGGGCGGAAACACAACGCAATGACTGAACGGAAGTTTTTTGGAAGCGCATAAAATTATTATGGAGTCGTCCGTGGAGTCTCCTCTTTCCCGTTCCCCGTTCTTCGTTCCTGCAATCCGTATCTGGATATATGTATCTTTTTTGCCATCGAGGACGTGGCGCGTCAATTGAGAATTCGAGTCCAGGACCTTAGCCTCCACTGGCACTTCATAGTCCTGCCGCAGTCAGCTTTTTATGGCTCTCCGTTTTCCTTTGTGAATTCACTTTAGCTGCTGGCCCCGGCTGGCTGGCTATCTCTATCTGCCCAACCTTCAGCGTTCCACGCCCTGCGTTCTCCTTGCCGTAATATTTTTATGCGCAAATTTAATATTTACATTTAGCCAAAGTGGATTTCGGGCTATCGCCGACTGTGGCCGGGTATTTTTATCAACTGACAACTCCTGACCGCAGAATGTTCCCAGCCTAGCAGAGATGTATCTGCAAGATAAACAAGAACAAGCCAAGAAGCAGCCGGAATAAAATGGCATTTAGATAAGCCCACAAAACTTTGGACAAACGCTCTGAGGTGGGGGCTGTATGCTTGTACTATGCTTGGAAACTAGCATGTGAAACACTTGCGGTCTACGAGATGAAAATTCCGGGGCGATGATAGCGGGATGGTCAGCGGGATGGAAGCGTCCTCCAGCCGAGGTCTTGGGAAAATCCAGTCAGGAATATGCCAAGCCGCTTTGAATAACAATTAAAATGGTTGAAATTAACAATATAAAGCAAGGGGAAAAGCCTAAAAATTTTGAAGGGAGTGAGAAAAGTTGGAGGAAATATGTTCGGTTTAAAAAATTAGGAAAACATTTTTAAAGAGTTAAAATTAAGGGCAATAAAAAGAAATGCACGTTTAATTTTAAATAAATCCACTATTATTTTAAATAAAAGCCCAAAAATCAATAGAAAATATCCATTTCTCTCTGGATTTTCTCGAACTTTTGACACTAAAACATAAATTCTGAACATAATGTTGCGTTTGCTCAGCAGTGTGGGTTAAAATGATACTATAACGGAAAGTTCTAATAAATAATTCATTTGGCTGGGACTATGAGTCATTATGCAACCATCCCCTCGGCTGCTCTAGTTTAAGTTTCGATTTTACTTCCTTGTTTTTTTTTTTTGGGGTTTTTTTCGGACAACCACCAAGGAATCGCAGTCACAGTCACCCCGTCACAATGTGAGTCATCGTCATCTGGCAGGACACCCCCGCCGAGGATTAGCAGCTGACTTTGGTCTATGAGAAACAGCTGACAGGGTGGTTTCCCCCATACAATCCCCCTACAAACCCCGAACACCCATGCCACCTATCCAACCCATCCCACCCAGCCCACAGCTGGATTTCTCGATATTCCCTTTATTTATTTCCATTTTTTATCCACGCTGCTGAATTTGTAAAACATTTCCAAGTACACGAGCGACAAACAGGCAACCACTTAACGCTTGTTGCCACATTCAGCTCCGTTCCAGCTGTCCTGTCTGCGTCCTGAAGTGCGTTCAAAGCCAGGACACCACCCGCCCGAAAATCCACCCCTCCCCCACACCCCATCAAAAATAAAAAGGAAATATAAAAAAACACAGAGACAATCGCCTGATTCGGCTTTCGTGCCACACACGTTTTGTACTTTTTCATTTTTGTGTATTTATTTGTATTGTATTGCATGTTCTGTCTGTGTTTGTGTACCTCCGCCCCTGAAAAAGGGGGTTTCGCTGCCCCCCTGCCCCTTCCCCTTCCCCCTTCCAAAAAAACCTTAGGCATGCAAGGATATAATCGAGAGCATAGCCAACGGAACCCTCCATGAATCATGTCCGTCGCTTTATCAAACTAAAAAAGGGGGTAAAAATGTCATGGAAGGGGGGCCGAAAAGGGGGTTGGCTTTTGGGGAAGGGAGTTATCTGTGGTTACATTTACAGCTCTGCGACATAGAGGAAAGGGCTTGCAAATGCCCCTAATGCAGGCATCAATTTTTCAATTTGTTTGGATTCTTGCATGCCAGTCGAAAATAGTCCTTGGTCTAATATATGTTCATTCTTGAAATTTACAGCCCAAAATTGTATAATACAAAACAGTTAACTCAATTATTGATCTAATATGGATAGTGCACATGAGGTTTATTAATTTAGTTAGAGTTCTTCTCTAAAAGTTATTCGAGAACTATCCCCTGTGCAAATATTTCCCAGCCATAAATTTTCATTGCAACAATTACCAAAGATCATAATAGAAAATTAAGTAGAAAAGGACTATGGCCCAGCCCAAAGGAGCAGTAACACACACAAAACGTTGCATAAAAATGTCGATTGTTGACTTGTTATGCGAAAAATGCGTGATTCCCTGCAAGTTTTTCGGCCAGGGGCGTAGAGAGGGGGTACAACTGCTGCGGGCACACATAATGTCTAATAAACATTTTGTGCCCTATAAAAGAGCATTGAATGCGGAAGCCCGTCGCTGCCAAACACGGCCTGTGCGTGTTTATGGCCAAGATGAAGACGAACAACAGCATTAGGGCCAACAGAAACATTAGCAGCCACAATTAATACGTACAGAGGCAAACAAATGAAGCAGCACAAGAGCAAGAATTGAATTAATAATCGTACTTATGTTTTTCCTTCCCTTTTCCCTTTTTTCACGCTTTTTGCAGATCTCAGGGCCCGAAGACAAACAGAAAACAAACAAAAAAGGAGGGCGGCCAAGAAAAGTGAGAAAGTGACACTCGAGACTTGTGTTCTCTTTCATTAAAAAGGTGTTTAAGGTGAGTGAAATGAGTGAAAGAAAACACTGCAACTTTTATAATAACATATTTAAAATATATACTTTGATAGCAGTTTCAGTAATTTTTTCGATTGAGTGCTGCTTTAAAGATTCCCTTGCTTAATCATATATATGTACCTACAAGTTTAAACAACTTTGATATGGACACATGACTGACATTACACAATGGCCATAACAAAAACCCAACTCAAGTCGCAACCTCAAAAAGAGGAGAATAATAAAGTTAAGCCAAGAAATACAATGAGCACTGAGAGATACAGATACAAAAAGAATGGCCCACGCCAAGCCCGCAAAATAGTGTGGCAACCCTGGCCCCTCGTAACCCCCTTCATTTCATTTTATCTATTTGCTATTTGCTATTTACCGTCTCGGGTTCAGGTTCCTATTCGTATTCGTATTCGTATTCGTTTTTGGATTCGGCTTCGGCGTCCATGATAATTAGTTATAATCGGATTTAGTTAGACGCAAGCGACCGAAGGTGTTGCCAGTTGAAGTTGTCGTTATCGTTGCCGTTGTCGTTGCCGTTGTTCGTTGTTCTCGTTGTATCTTTTGTTGTCGCAGTGTGGTGCAACCACCATATGTACATACACATATAGATAGATAGATAGATAGATAGATAGATAGATATACCACCCACCCACCAACCCGAGTAGCGTTCAACCACAAGGCAATCAAATGGAAAAGCCAGCGAAAGAAAAACTGACATCCCCGAGTGGGTCGAATCGGTATATCGGCAAATGTGCCAGTATCTCTGGATCTGGATCTGCATCTGTATATACTGTATCTGTATCTCTGCACCTCCACTGCTCTTTTCTAACACGTTTGTTAAGAGGTTTCGTGGCAGAAGGGGGATAACCTGTATGGGAAAGGTCCAGGTCCCGCTCTTATTTATTGAATTGATTCGTATTTGTGTGGAGTCTCAGTCTCCCTGGGTTTTTTGGGACGAATTAAAATAGGTTTCGTCTCTCCATCGCTTGCCGCTTTATTTCTTCCACGTTCTTTTTACCCATTTCCCCATTCGGGCCCTGCACGCTGCACGTTGCAGTGTCATGTGGTGGGGATATAACTCAATTAGCTGCATGGGGAGAAGGAAATGGGGCATACTGACGGCCGGACAAAAGAATAAGCCCGAGATGAGGTAGCCGGGCGGAGATTGTTTATTTTTTGGGCTCGGTTTTAGGTTTTCGGTTTTCGGTTTTCGGCTTTCGGAGGGGACAGGTACCCCTGAAACAGTGACAGCTGTCAGGTGAGGGTTTTACCGATTCTTTTTTTTTTTTATTTTTTGTATTTTCTTGGTCAGCCAATTGTCGTTGTGGATGATAATTTGAAATGAAAACATTGCCTATGGGAACTCGCCTTGCAGTGGAGTTTGTTCAATGAAACGTGGTATGGTGTTTAGTTAGTTTGGTACACTTACAATTGCGTGAAGATAGTTGCAGTTGTCACTGGGCTTTAGAAAGTGGCCTCAAGGAACTGAAGTTGCTGCCTGGGTTTGTGTGTGAAATTTGGTATATGACTTAGTTGGCAAATACAAATTGAATATATACACAAATTGCTATAGGCATTCCTATAAAAGCCTCAAGGAACTCGGTCAGTGCTATTATAGAGTCTATTATAAAACTTGGTATACAGCTTGGACACCAGCTAAAATGATATGATAAATAACACAACGCTTTAATTCTTCTTAAAATGTAATATTAAAGCCCCAAAGATCTCCGAAGGCCTGACTATGGGATCATAAACCAAACCAGACTAACTCAAGTTCCCTCAGGTTTTCCGAACCGAATTTTCATTCAATTATAAACCAAGAGTTGCTGAAAATCTCTACTTTTAGTCGCTTAAGAAATATCCATGCTTACCATCTAAAGTCTATTCAAATACTTTCTGGTCAAGTGCCGCTTTCGAAATCACTCATTTTCAATCTTTGCCAATCGCATCGCATGGGCTTCTCTGGTGGGTTTTCGTTATTTCTTATATTTTTTGTTTTATTTGAGGGTTCGGATCGGATTGGATTGGATCGATCTATGTCAAAGTGGCGGCCCACACGAAAACGGGGAGAAATAAAACGAAATGAAGAAAAATGTCGGTGTGTGGGCGAACTTGGACTTGGAATGGAATGGAACTCGAATGGAGCATAAAATATGTTAATAAGGCTTAAAGTTATACAAATCTTGACTGGCTGGCCGGCTGGCTGGCTGACTGGCTGACTGCGATCGCTTGTAATACAAAACCATAAACATGAATTTGAAAAAAATGCTAAACGTAAAGTGGAGAAGCTGCTGCGGCCGCTGGGGAACCCAAAACCAAGTCGAAAACCGAAAGCCCCGACTAAACCCAAATCGAAGCCAGCTGGCTCCCCTCGGCTTGTCATTGTTGCAGTGTCTTTTCTTGGCCTGGCTTAATTTCCTGCTGCTCGACTTCAACTTGTTTTGCTTCTTCGCAGCTTCTCCCCTTTCCAGTCAGCCGAAAATAAAGAAAAAAAATCGAAATAATATAACCACACACACAAAAGAGCATAAAAAAAAAACCAACAACAAAAAGCAACCACGAAATCAGTTAAGTTCAGGTGTTCAATTTACTGATTGAAATTCTGCTTCGATGTGGCCAAGCAACTTTCATTCGCTCTGCTCCATTCCCCAAGCCCATCTCCTTTCTGTATATACTATGTATCGCATATGTCTTGTGTATATATATCTTTCTGATGATTTTATTTGGAGTTTCGGCTGCTGCGAGTTCGTTTCATAATTTTATGCCTGACCATGTCAGGAATTATGTTAGAATTATGCTAATGAGAGTCCGATCGAACCGAGATGCTTTAATTATACACGGCTAACAAGTTTTTCACCCCCTTCGCCAGATATTATCCCCGCGGAGCTTGAAGAATTGATGAATAACTTAACTCGTTCTTCTGGGTGAGCTGCAGTTGGTAATTATATTAAGGCAAGACGGAGTCTCGGGTTCATTCGATTAGTGTTATGAAATCTGATCTGGCTTCAAGTTTCGTTTCGGGCTTGTTGATCTTAGTTTTAAACATTGTTGGCCTTACTTCTTGTTTGGTTTTTGTGTATGATTAATGGCTGGACAACACTGGTCGATCACAATTTCAACACTACTTTTATTGTTAAAGCCATATAAGTATCACAGTTGTAATTCATTTTAAATATGTGATTAATCTTTTTTTTAAGTTTATACATTATAACAAGTTGTACTATTAACTAGTACTGAATGGAGTATCATATTTGTTTCGCTTTTCAACACTGTCTTTGTTTTTCAATTGCTAAACTTTGTAACACTGTCTATTTAAAATATTGAACAGTGGCTGCCTTTTTCTGCTAAGTCACTTACCGACTCAAACCCCTATTGATAATTATCAGTGTCCCCTTTTAAGGATGAGCGCTGACCTTTTTAGCTTGTGTTCACTGTTCCGTTAAGTTGTGCTGACTCTGGCCAAAAACTTCTGGTGTGTGGCCCATTAATAGGCGATTTAAGTTTATTTTTTTTCCCGTTTTCCTTTTATTGACTTTGGAATGGGGACCCCGGATCCACATCTAGATCCAGATCCTGGTGCTCCAGATTTAGCCCGGCCCCAGGACACACATTTGTCTCGTAATCAGAGATGGCGGATGGGTGGAAAAAGAGAGGGTCAATTGAATCCCGGCCAGTCGTCATCCTTTGACTTTGACTTTCCCCCCGGACTTCTCCTTTTGCCACTTAGCCGCTGCCTTTTAGTTGATTTGTTCGAGCAAACAAATTGTCAACAGAAAAGCGAGGAGAAAGCAGTGGGCGAAAGGGGTAAATGGAGAACTGGAGAATGGGGAGGGACCCACACAGACATACGCACAAATTGATTTTAATTGTTAAGCATTCCCTTTTTTAATTGTCCTAATCTTTGCTGAACCCTGGACCTCGACCAATATCCTTTATGCCTTTTCCGGTTCCCCCTATCCCCCGATTTCCCCGATTCCCGATCTTAGTCCTTTTTCCCTTCCGCTTGTTGCCTTTTCCGTTTTGTCAGCAAAAGTCCTTTAAGTAGCCTTCCTTTGGACGAGCTTTCCTTTTTTCCTTCCTTGTATTTATTTTTTTTGTTGTTGGTGAAGGGTTAACCGGTCCCTAAGGGCACTTGCATGTGTGTGCGAAAGAGAGGGGGCTTCAGAGGTGCGACAGAGACAGATGGAGGCGTCCTCAAGTACAGTCGACACTTTAACTGACAGTTAAAGTTGAGTTTTCGGTTTGTTTTGGGAAACTTGCAGGCTGCTGGGACAGCTTACTCAGCCAAACAGAAAGCCAAAGGATGTGTGCCACATATTCACTTATTTAACAGCGAATAAAGTTGCTTCCGAAGACACATACTGTTTTCTTTATGTGCCATTGGTTTTGATTTGTATCCAACAACAATGATATCTTATTAAATTAAAGTCGCACTAATTATTTTATTTATATAAGCTTTACAACACTGTACCTCTTTCATGGCAATATTTTTGAACAGTAAGGAAATGAATTAAACTGGACTTTTAATCGAAAAAAAATAATATTTCAAGACAATCAAATATATATGAAATTGAAGTTTCTTGTACATAACAAGTTTGGCATCATATCATAAAATATCTATGGTGAAGCTTTTTAAACTGATTTTTTTTCCATTTAAAAAAGCGGATCATCGAAAATCGTCTTATTCGGTCGGCATCCAGACAAAAGCAGATTGCCACACCATTGGTGAAGATAATTCCGGCCACAATCTGGGACTTAACCCCCCACTGGGCGCTCTTAACCCCACGCTGCCAATCGCCAATCACTGGCAAACAGAAAACTCCGATGGCAAGAAAAACATTTCCGCTGCGAACGCTTTCCGCTCCAGTTTTCAATATTCGCAGCTCTCCGGCGGCAGAGAGATACAGTAATTATTTTCAGGCGACGCTTATCACACATAAATCTCGACTCCCTCTGCCGCCGTTCAACCCTCCATTCCGATCCGATCCAATCCAATCCAATCCAATCGATATTGCACACTATATGGGAGATGGTTGCCTGTTTTGTCAGTTAGTCGGCAGTTGCAAGTTGCAAGTTGCAAGTTGCCAGTTGCCAGTTGGAAATTGGCAGCAACTTCCCCGGCCATCGGGCTTCCTTTCTGCAGCTGCTTTTGCCTTTCGGGCCCCTGCCCCCCCCCTTTTAGCCGACGCCCCTGGCCATCACCTCAACTGACCACAAGATGCAGCTGCACTTATCCAGCATCCAGCATCCACCATCCAGCATCCTTTAATGCCACAGCCCAAGCATCTGTTGTGATATTTATAGTTGCAAGTTGCAACTGGAATCGGGGGAACAGGTGCTAAGACGACGCCCGGGATCAAGTTGTCAGCCCAGAGCGAGAAAAAAAGGGTTAACTGATTTGCAAAAATATTAAAGACACAACAGTAATCTGAGCCACATATAGATACATGTAAAAGGCTCCTTGGATGCTCCAAATAATATAAATAAATGAATGCAAGTCGGAATAACAAGCATTAAAGTCATGGCTAAATATTCAAAGGAGAAACCTTAAACTATAATTAACGATATTTAAGAAAGAAATTGTATGCTACAAAATAAAAAACAAGTTAATCGAGTTTACTTTGTTTTATATTCCATGAAACAAGACTGTGTTAGATAAATCTTTTTTCTCGGATATATATCAAGCATTAATTAATCACAAATTAAACATTTTTATAAAAATTAATATAATAACTACCTTTTTCTTTACATAAATTTGTAAGAAATAGGAGTTTTTAATTTTTAGTACTTTTAGTTTTCTTAAACTTCAATATATTTATTTTTAATATATATAAATACAAATTGATTTCAATATATAACCAACTTAAGCATCCCTGGCTGCTCTAATTGGTTTTATTTCTTTTTCTTGCCGGCCAGTGTAAAAACGTAAACCAGTTTCCACGATCGCATTATTATCGCCAGTTCGCTTCGGTTATTAGATGCAAGCTGCAGCGGATGTGCGGCTTCCTTCGAGACTTTTGTCATTTACGGTTTATCTGCCCGCTGCCCCTCCCCCTTTTGTGTGCCCATTGCCACCTGGCCGCTCCCCCTTTTTCTTCCGACGCCCCTGAAGTTTCTACGGCTGCACCTTCTAAGCACGTCGAAGTGGCTCTCATAAATCAATAAAGAAAGGCCCACCTGGTACAAATAACTTTGAAAAATTTATATTGAACACTCGCCTTGCTTCTTTCTCTTGCAAAAGTTTTTCGGCAGGTGGGTGGGTTTAGAGGGGGCTACAGGGTCAGAGGGGTAATGGCACATCACTTGAGCTTTAGTGTTCCGAGGCGAAAGAGAATAAGATGCCCAGGCACTTTCCACTCAGATGGCAGCTGCTACTGTTAAGTCTCGTACTTGGCCAATGAGTGGAGTGATTTGTATTGTTGGCCAACCATCACCCCCTGAACCACCCACACTTTTCCGGGCGGAGACTCGGAGCAGTTTTCGTGTATGACATGCCCTGGATATTGAGACACTGACAGCGAAACGGAGAAAACAAATTAAAAAGCCAAAAAGTTAAGGAATTTCAAGAGGAAAACATGATCAAAGCAGCAGACAAAAAAAAAAAGTCCCAGATGGTCTAGAAAATTGTGAAGAATATCTTAAGAACGAAAGCAATTATCTTAATATTTTATATCCATTACTTTGTGAAGAGTTTGTTTCTTAATTTAAATCCATTATTTTCAAAAACAAATAAGGTAAATAGGTCAATTCCCTCGTTACTTTTACTAATTAAAAATATTTATATACATAAAAAAAACTATATAAAATTAATCAATAGTCCGCAGCCATCCTGCAGTAAATTCTCCGCTGCAAGATCAGGTTTTCCCATAAATTCTTGCAGGGCAATAAAGTCAATTTCCACCATCGATACGCAGGCCATCAACACTCTTTTTCCTCGCTTTTCTCCCAAAAATCGAAATCCGAAAACAGATGAAACCGAATCTTTATCGCCCATAAAAGGCAGGGCCTCAAAAAAAAGCAAAAAACTCCCTGCGAGCGTGTCTAAAATCGGTTTTAATTGGCTTAGCAAACGCACTATTACCATCTTCAACTGGGAAGTCGGTGATGATTTCGAGATTTTCATCGTTTGGAGTTTCTCCCACAGCCTCCAGTGAATTTTGGATTTCGGATTTTAAATTTTTTTCGGGTACAGCTCTAATTTTGAGTAATTTTCGAGGCCCCGCCCCTCGGATTTCTAACCCTTCCGTTTTGTCTTTTCTTTTTTTTTTTCGTTTGAACGGAAGCCCGCTAATCTTTTGCCTCCGTTTGCATCTTTTTTGGGTTATTTTTTCTTATGGATTTCTTCTCTCTTCTACTATTTCATTTTCTGTTATAATTTCGTTTAATTTGAGACGCCAATTTCCGTATAAATGCAATAAAAACAAATAATAGCGACGAACTACAAGAAAACGAAATTAGACAGACGGAAGCAAACCGACCAACAAAAAAAGAAAAATGGAAACAAAAATAGAAGAAACCCTAAACCCCACAGAGAATATACAGAAATAGTAAAATAGTTACCCAACTACTGGGAAAAATGCGTGAGAAAATTCCAAGTCAGACGGCACCTGTACGTCGAACTTGAAAAGTGCTGCTGGGAAACAAAGGTGGAAAAGCGGAAAAGTGGAAAAGTGGAAAGGGAGAGTGTAGTTTAGTGCTTAGAGTCGAGATTGTGCTTCATATATTGTAGCTGCAATTTATTAGGCAAATCTCATCAAACGCAACTCGAGCTGAAAGTGGGGATTGAGGCTTGGTGGCTGGAATTAAGTGGTTAACAGAAGGAATTTAGCTCAAGTGATGAAGAGGTTTTAGCTCGATTCTATGAATCGGAGATCATTCAAGTTAATACAGCGGTGAAGTGGAATTGAAAGGGAAATTTAGATATATAACAGAGAATATTTGGGACATTTAATTTTATTTTTCTATCTTATGAATATATAATGGGAAACTTAATTTATTATTTTTTTATATTTTAGCTTTTAAAACCAATTTACTAGGAATCTTTTTTACTAGTTACCTATTCTATTACAAAGTCGTGTTTATCTGTTTTTTCTTTGTCTTGCATATCTTTATATGCTCACTTTTTTCAGTTTTTAAGACTTGTGCTTTACATATTTGGCCTGGCACTTTGTGGAATATTTTTGCAAGATTTTTGCACATTTTGCCCGTTTATGGGCGCCCTTTGTCATAAACTCCGGCACTGGCCCGCGGCTTAAGCCGTTTTCTGCGGTGGCTATCTGTGCACCACCCGTGCACCACCCTGCACCACTGTGCGCCACCCAAGCTCCCTGCTTTGACTAATTTGAATGTAATTCGTTTTTGGGGCTCACGTACGGCTGTCTGCACTTGGAAAACATGAATAAAACCGAATAAAATGCGAATGAACATAAAAATGGGTACGAGTACAGCACAAACAAATATATAAAAAAAACAAAAAAAAAAAACAAGCGCGCCAACAGCGAACAATAAACGAACAATAATAAGTAATAAGACCCTGAGGCAATTGTAGCCCCCCCACCCCTCAGTCCCACGAAACATTTGTTCAATAAAACGCGAAACGAGATAAAAAAAAAAAAACAAACCAAAAAACGCAACAAAGCAAAACAAAGCGCATAAAAAGCACAGCAAATAAACAAATAGATACATGTGTGCGCAAGAAGAAAAGACAATTTTGTTTGGGGTCTCCATTATGTTGGCGCCTGCTCAAGGCTTCCCCAGAAATCCAAAAACCCAAAACTCCAAAATCCGATCCGGTTTCCCCTTAGCCTTTTGTTGCATCCGAATCGCAGCTAATTGAAGGACTTTAATAGAGGTTTCCGGTTTGACAAGCGCTTCGGGAAGTATTTTCAAACTAGAAAAACAGAATTTCAAGAATACAGCTTAAGAAAAACATATAACAAAATGTAAAGTTGTGGCAGATATTTGTTCAAAATAAATATGTACATAGGTATCAAAGTAACACTCTAAGGCTAAAGCTTATTTATCTTAAGGCTTTGATTGTGGTGTTTGGATGTGCATTAACTTGGGTATTTCATCTATCTTGCAGCACCATGCTGGACACGATGCAGCTGCTGCTGCTGGCCACGATCGCGGGGATGGGGCTGCGAGTGGGCGTGGTCAGGAGCTCGCCGTACACGAGCTACCAGAACCAGCGGTTCGCCATGGAGCCGCAGGACCAGACGGCGGTGGTGGGGGCCCGGGTGACGCTGCCCTGCCGCGTGGTCAACAAGCAGGGCACGCTGCAATGGACCAAGGACGACTTCGGACTGGGCACCTCGCGGGACCTGAGCGGCTTCGAGCGGTACGCGATGGTGGGCAGCGACGAGGAGGGCGACTACTCGCTGGACATCTACCCGGTGATGCTGGACGACGACGCCCGCTACCAGTGCCAAGTGAGTCCCGGTCCCGAGGCCCAGCCCGCCATCCGGTCCACCTTCGCCGGACTGACCGTCCTGGTGCCGCCCGAGTCGCCCAAGATCACGCAGGGCGACGTCATCTTCGCCACCGAGGACCGCAAGGTGGAGATCGAATGCGTTTCGGTGGGCGGAAAACCCGCTGCTGAGGTGAGTGGTCTTTACTTTTCACCTCTCTATTAAACAAGTATATTTCTGCGAGCTTACTCCATATATTTAATTCGATTTTTTAACAAACACATAGCCACTTACTGCTTTTGCATTTCTGCCATATTTTACTATTGAAAAAGTAAATGCTAGACTTATATGCAAACAATTATTGAAATATTTAATCTATTTATTTTCTTGTTTTCTATTTTTTTATTTTTTTTTACTTGTACTTTTTATATTTCACTTTATGGTTTTATTTATGTTTTATTTCTTGAGTTACTTTAACTTTCTCATATGTTTTTGAGACAAATTTAAGACTGGGTGTGGAATCATTTCAGCCTTATAATATTAAAGGTCCGTTGATAATCAATATAATATCAGATTCTATTATTCTCTTCTAAATATTTGGCCATCATGAACTTCCTTTATTTTGGCTTGCATAATTGTCACAGAAATTATGATCACATACATATTTACGTATTATTTAGAAAACTGTTCAAAAATGACTTATTCCTGACCCTTATTGGGCAGCTTATCGAAGCAACAATGAACCACAATCTGCATTTTTTCCACCCCCACCCGCAGATTACCTGGATTGATGGCCTGGGCAACGTACTCACGGATAACATTGAGTACACGGTGATACCGCTGCCCGATCTGCGGCGCTTTACGGCCAAGTCCGTCCTGCGACTGACCCCCAAAAAGGAGCACCACAACACGAACTTCACCTGCCAGGCGCAGAATACGGCGGACCGCACCTATCGCTCGGCGAAAATACGTGTCGAGGTGAGTAGTCCTGCGGCCAGGAAACCAGAAAACGCAGAGAACGCAAAAACCCAGGAACCAAAAAAACCAGCAGCTGACCCCCCGATGGTCGTCCTGCTGACAGGTCATTGCAGGTTTTGCATGAGCCCCCACACTGTAAAATTTCACACCTAATTTATAATTAAATTTGGCCAGTCCTCTTAGTTTTTGCTGGGATATCATCGATTTTAGAGAATATTCTTGAAAGTTGTTTAGTTCAAACTAAGTTACTAATTTATAATTAAATCGTACCTTTACTGGAGTGTCTAAAAATCTTAGAACATTTTTGGGACAGTCTATTATAGAGCTTGTTAATCTTGGTTACTAATTTTAAATAACAACCTCGAATTCCACTAATTTTTTGCTAAAGTGTGTACGAATTTTATAATTTATTTTGAGCATAAACAATTAATTAAATAAATCAACAGTTTGTGGGACTGCCTATCTTAGTTTAGAATGTAATATTCTTGAAAAAGTAGAACATATATATTTTTTTAGATATTATTATGTCATTTTAAATTTAAATTTTTTTTTTATTTTGATGCTTAGCAAAAATTTGATTTAGGCAAAGAAGTAATATAAAGGGTGGCTAATATTTTGGAAACTTTTTCAAAGTATATTTATGACTTATTTCTGATAGTTGTTCATGAGTTTTATGTTTATATTCAGTCAATATTTTCAATTAATAGTTTTCTAAGCCTATTTTGGCTAAATAGTTATTTTTTTGAGTGCAATGAACTGCCGCAAGCCTTATCTATGGTATGAACGGGGCAAAGGAGAGAGCCTGCTATCAGTTTTACGTGATGCGAGGCGCTGCGGAAGTCCCCTTCTTTCCGAGGACAGCTCCAAGCCGGGGGATAGTATTTTTTGAATGGGCTTTTGTGCCGGACATGGCACGACACTGACGGGCTAATTCATGCCCGGACATAAAGGCACCCATCATGGGTTCTCCAAGCTCCAAGCTCCCAGCTCCCAGCTCCCAGATCCAAGCTCCAGGCTCCTGCGAGTCCCTCATTTCGTCGGGAAGGGTGCGAAAGTGAGGAGCCAACAAAGAGCCAACACCGACCTCAGCCCACTTGTCATTGGCCTGGTTTTTCGGGGGGGTCACATGTCCATGGCGCTGACAAATCCCTGACGAAGATGTCGGGCCAAGGAGTGCCGGGATTCGCATCTGATTGAGCTGAATGAGGGCCAACTTGGAGCATGCCAGGACATGGCACATCAATACAACTTGCGTAGTTTTAGGCCAACAAATGCCCATGAATGTGGTTGCAAGTATAGTAATTTCCACATTTTTAATGCCATTCAAATTATGTTATGTGGTGTCAAATTTGTGTAATTTATCCTGATTATTCAGCAGATTTCAAATTGATTTTTATTTAACCATATCTAGGCATTTAAAAGGGAGAGAAATAAAATCATTAAATTGTACTGCCAGAATGGGAAATTGACTATTTTAAATGACAATAAATTAGAATGTAACATTAAGTATACAATTTTACATCTGAGTAGCTCTAAGAAATTAAAAGGAAAATAAATGCAATAATTTATTTTATATTTATTTATAAATTTTGTAGACATTTTTTTAATTTCAAACTTTAGATGTAAGTTGAGTGGAAACTTTAGTTAAACATTCCCATTATTTCACCTCCATTTGCAGGTAAAATACGCGCCCAAGGTTAAAGTGAATGTGATGGGATCGCTACCCGGTGGTGCAGGCGCATCTGGATCGGCTGGTGGTGCAGTTGGTGGTGCAGGCGGTGGAGCAAGTGGTGGTCATTTCGCCGGCGCCCGGATTGTGGAGCACTCGCAGGTGCGTCTGGAGTGCCGGGCAGATGCGAATCCCAGCGATGTCCGGTACCGCTGGTTCATCAACGACGAACCGATCATTGGCGGCCAAAAGACAGAGATGGTAAGTGGCGCTCCTACTCCTAGTTTGCTCGATTTTCCCCAGAGATTTCCTCCTGGAAAAACTGGTCGACATTCCAGTTGGCAGGCTGGCGCATAATTAGAGCAACTATTGCGATTAAAATGCTGCCTCTGCTGCTGTTGTATAATGTTGGCAATTATTGGAACCAGTTAGATCGCCACCGGAAAGGCCTAACGTTCCCACAATTAACTGCAACTGGAACTCATGGATCGACCCTCTCTCCCCCTCTTCCCTCTTTCTCCAGGTGATTCGCAATGTGACCCGCAAGTTCCACGACGCGATTGTCAAGTGCGAGGTGCAGAATTCCGTGGGCAAGAGTGAGGACAGCGAAACCCTCGATATAAGCTGTAAGTAGTTCAAAAAAAAAATATATATATTCACCAACAAAAATTAGACAGCAATCTGTCAAACAATTTATTTGATTTTATAAAAATAATGAAAAATAATGAAATGGCATCTCGTTGCAAACTCAATGTATTTACAAATCATTGTTAATATCAAAAAATGTGATAGACAAATATTCAAATTAAAATTGCCTTTTGGTTGTTGCAATGCAATGGAAAATCACCATAATAAAATAGAAAAGAGAGAAATATTTAATATATGGTGTAAATGTATTTTTCCATAGGCAGAATTTGTTTTATGCTGTTTTTTTGTGGAATAATAATCATAGACAAACGTGAATTTTGCTCTTCATATCTAACTAATGTGTAGTTATTTGCCTAGTAATGGGTTTCGTTTCGATGTACGCATTGGTATTTTCTGTTTTTAAAGCTTTTGGTCAGAAGCTGTTAATTAATTGGAAATTAAATGCAGTAAATTGCCAATACTATTTGACATTCAATATTTAACTTAACGATATTTATATTTCATGGTTGTATGTAGAATCATATTTTTTTTTTTTATTGTAGTATCTTGTTACATACTTTTTGAAGATTTTATCAATTCAGGTTAATATTTTATATTTAATTTTAGATTGCATTTTGATGAGCACTAGAATACTGGCAAAATCTTACCTATTTTATAGGGGGGCTGCAATAAAAATCACTTGTTTGTTGAAATCACTTTATAAGGTGTCCGAAATGTATGCAGTAGAAATATTACTTTCGTTTTTTGAAATAAGTCCAACGGATTTTTAGATTTTTGAATATACCATTGCATACTCTTAGGCGGCGTGGTAAAGCTTATTTCAAAACCACAGTGATTTCTGTTGCATTAATATTTATTTACTGCATTGTTTGAGTTAATTTATTTCAATGCCCCCACTTTGATTGCAGATGCGCCCAGCTTCCGGCAGCGACCGCAGTCGATGGAGGCGGACGTGGGCAGCGTGGTGTCCCTCAGCTGCGAGGTGGACAGCAATCCGCAGCCGGAGATCGTGTGGATCCAACACCCCAGCGACCGCGTGGTGGGCACCAGCACCAACCTCACGTTCAGCGTGAGCAACGAGACGGCCGGGCGGTACTACTGCAAGGCGAATGTGCCCGGCTATGCCGAGATATCCGCCGACGCCTATGTCTACCTGAAGGGATCGCCGGCGATCGGGTCGCAGCGGACGCAGTACGGCCTCGTGGGCGACACAGCCCGCATCGAGTGCTTCGCCAGCAGTGTGCCTCGTGCCCGCCACGTCTCCTGGACCTTCAACGGCCAGGAGATCAGCTCCGAGTCCGGCCACGACTACTCCATCCTAGTGGACGCGGTGCCCGGTGGCGTCAAGAGCACCCTCATCATCCGCGACAGCCAGGCCTACCACTACGGCAAGTACAACTGTACGGTGGTCAACGACTACGGCAACGACGTGGCCGAGATTCAGCTGCAGGCCAAGAGTGAGTACTTCCCCAAATTATTAGTTTATTGGGCTTAGTAGTTTATACATGGCTTATAGGGCTTTAAAAACCTGTATTTTGGTGAATTTTAATACATTTTTTAGCTAAATAATTATCTATATATTTTTTTTATTTTGCTTAAACCTTTTTGCATATTAAAATGTAAGTTTACTTTTAATACGTTAAGCTACAAACTATTTTCGATACTTTGGTTGGTTGTTTATACTAGTAAATTCATATGGAAATTAATTTTGAATTTTCACCATACTCAAGCCGCACTTCCTTTGCCTTTCTTGTGTCCTCCGCAGAGAGCGTTTCCCTGCTGATGACGATTGTGGGCGGCATTTCGGTGGTGGCCTTCCTGCTGGTGCTGACCATCCTGGTGGTGGTCTACATCAAGTGCAAGAAGCGCACCAAGCTGCCGCCTGCGGACGTGATCAGCGAGCACCAGATCACGAAGAACGGCGGCGTGAGCTGCAAACTGGAGCCCGGCGACCGAACCTCGAACTACAGCGACCTCAAGGTGGACATCTCGGGCGGCTATGTGCCGTACGGCGACTACAGCACGCACTACAGTCCACCGCCGCAGTATCTGACCACCTGTTCGACGAAATCGAACGGCAGCTCGACCATTCTGCAGAACAACCACCAGAATCAGCTGCAGTTACAGCAGCAGCAGGGACATCAGAGCCACCAGAGCCACCAGAGCCACCACCACCACCACCAACAGGCTTCCAATGCGCAGACCCTGCCGATGACCTTCCTCACGAACAGCAGTGGCGGCAGTCTGACGGGCAGCATCATCGGATCGCGGGAGATCCGGCAGGACAACGGGCTGCCCAGCCTGCAGTCGACCACCGCCTCGGTGGTCAGCTCGTCGCCCAACGGCAGCTGCAGCAACCAGAGCACAGTGAACGCCAGTGGCAACGGCAACGCCGCCACTAGCGCCACCACCCACGTGGTGGTGCCCAGCTCGATGGCCTTGAGCGTGGATCCGCGCTACAGCGCCATCTACGGCAATCCGTATCTGCGGTCCTCCAACTCCTCGCTGCTGCCACCACCCACCGCTGTTTAAGAGGGTGCCACAGCCACAATCACAACCACAACCACAACCACCAAGCAGTAATGACCCACATTGAGCCACGCTAAGACTGATCTCACGCGGAAAACGAGGCCCCGGCGGCTGCTTTAGGGGGGCATCACTGTGCTGGTGGTGCGTTTTTTTTAGCTACCAAAAATTCGAATTGCTTAGGTTTAGGCACTTAGCTCACACACACACATCCGATTATATAGACATAATCGGATTCATCATTTCTTTAGTCCTTAGATCTAGAACTTTTTTTTTTGACGTTTTTGTGTTCTAAACTTAAGGATCTTATATCGTAGGCTAATGCCCAGTTTGATCTAGAGAGACTAAGCTTCAAAGAATGAGTGTTAAGCATTTACAGAACAAAAAAAAAAAAAAAAAAAAAAAGAAAAACAATTAGGAAGATTAGAGAGTTTTACCGCTTGTTGAGAAATCGCCTTAATGTAATGGTTAACTGATTGGTGATTTAACCTCCAGTTACAAAATTCGGTTTTCGGGGGGCTGCTAGCGTGTGAGAACTGTTTTGAACTTGTTCTCAGATTTAATATATTTCGTATTTTTTCTATAACTTTAACTATATCTTAATTTATTCTCCTTCTTTAGAAATCTATCCATCTAGTAGACAATTTTTCTATATACTTATATATATTTTGCTATTTTATCCTTTTCTTTGCAAGTTCTTTCCATTCCTTCCTTGAGTAATTTAAAAAATGAAATACCTTTTTAAACTTCACATACGTTATATTAGAATCCTTAACAGCACATCTTTATTTTCTATACCCCAACTTTTTCTTCCCCCATAACAAAGTCACCCCGAAAAACTCCCCCGAAAAAAAAATCTAGAAAAGAAAACAAAAGAATTCAATTATGTATACACGGATATAGTATATGCTAAATGTTAATGAATCTATATACAAGCATAAAGACATTCAGTTGAATGGTTAGCTAGCGAGTAAGCGAACGAAATGCCAAAGTACCTGATAGTATTTAAGTAGGGGGTTGGAGGACCCTTCAGATTCAGATCGGCACCGCCCCCCAAATTCAACTTCTTCTTCAACTGAATCATGTAGCATTATCTTCTCTCGCCCGTAACACTAGGCTAGACCTAAGATTTCGATAGTGCGTTGTACGGTTAAATAAATATAGAAGCTAGATCTTGACAGTCGCCTTAACTTATGACACGCCCATACATCTCAAATCGCCCATGGAAAAAATACAAAAAACAAAAAGCAAACAAAAAAAGAAGAGCGTTAACGTATTCAATTCGTCAGTTCAATTGTGCTAAGTGTACTTCTAAGTGTATAACGGTCTAATTATCCTAGTTGTAGCCTAACTAAAGATACACACGCATATTTAAAATATAGACCTAGCCCTAGATATATACATAGATATATATATTATACATGCATTTTTTTTCATAGCCCTAAGCATTATATTTTGATAAGCGAGCGTATTTCATCTAAGAAATCCCAGAAAAAGTAAACATTACTCCGCTCTTTTGCTATATTTATTAGCTGTGGGTATTTTATTAGTTTCGCCAATTACGCGCGAAACGAACAAATGTTTTTTGTTTACAAAATGCAAATGATAAAGGCAAATAAGCAGCATAAAACACACACAAAGTTAAACACGAAAGCAAAAAAAAAATAAACTGAATAAAAATGTATTGAAAAAGAAGGAAAGCGATGCATTGCGAATTGGGAGTTCGGGAGTTGGACATCAAAGTCGAAAGACAAATATGGGGAGCGGGGCAGAAAACATTTTTAATTTGCCCAGGTCGGAAGGACCAACTGTCAGCTAGCTGCAAAAAGCCAAAAATCAAACAAACAAGAGTGAAATGAAAATGTTTCACCGCTGGCACCACTTGCACCACCACCACCACCGCCAGTCATGTGTGTTAATTTATGGCAAGTCGCCTCGGAGTTGTCGGCAGTGCTACACTGCCACAAATCGGTTTCGATTCCAGAATAATTAATACTTGCTGGAATAAACTTTACAATTTTTTTGTGATTATAAATAGTAATTAAGTGTGGTCCAAATTTCTACAGTAAGTATAGTATGTAGAGATAAACATTCAAAATATCCATTTGCCATAACTATTTTACAAAAGTCTGGACAATTTATTATTTATTTATTATTTATTTATTATTTGATAAAAAGTCCCTACTAAAATTGTAAACAATAAGTACATATACTCGATTTTTCAGTTACAGTTTTAATTGAACAAGTCTTTTATTGTTATGTTGCTTTAAAACGTTTCAATTTTCTCCAAGTGCAGTTTTCCAGAGTTGTAGAGTTGACAGTGCAAACAAACGGCTCGCTAAGCTCGACTAAAAATGCTTAATGAGAGTGCGTAAGGATTTCCCAGCCGCCCAACCACCTACCAATCTACTCCCGACCCCTGACCCCTGACCCCTTTCACCCCCTCCCCTACCCACCGCACCCCTTTTCCACGCCCCCCTTTTCGCCGCCCCTGGAGGCAAGTGTTGGCCGCAAGAAATTCTGCGGCTGTGGGCAACAAAGTCGCGCACGACGCCCATTAAACTAAATTAGTTGCCCTTTGTCACCGAACGACCCTTGCTGTCACACGTGACTTGCTGGGGCGGTGGGTGGTGGGTGGTGGGTGGTATACTATATTGGGCGGTGGGGTGGCATACTGGAGCATACGTGCACTTAGCCAGAAGGAAGTTGCAATTGCGGTTGGCTGTGTTAATTAGCGTTTTTTCTTTTTTCATTGGAAAAAGGCGAGGAGGAAACTCTCGAAAACTGAAACTAACGTGAGTCGGCAAATGTCAAGAGACTGGTGACTGGTGAAAGTAAAGCCAGAGCCACTGACATTAGTTGGAGTTTTTTGCTCAGCATTGCTAAAAAGTGTACCCCTAGCTAAGTGTTATACTCTATTTGAATTTTAGTTTTAATCGCCTTAGTAGGTTATTCAATCAAGAAAAGATCGTAAATAATATACGAAGCAATTGTTAAGACTTAAGACTATTTGAAAGCCAAAACTAAATATATAGATTTATTTGAGGCCTGAAATTTAAAAAAAGTTTTTTTTTCTGATATGTAATATATATCTGACCTAACGTTTTTTCCCTACACTCACAATCTTATTTAGTGTGACAAAATAAAGTAATCCAATAAATATATACATACCTAATATTATTTATTTTATTAATTAATTATTAATTATTTGACTTTTGTATTCATTTTACAAATGTTTTAAAACTTCTTAAGTCTTTCGTTTGCTTATAGGTTTCTTATAAGTACAGAAGTAAAGCTTAGAACATTTTAAATGTTTGTGAAATAATTATTTTGCCATTTTGCAACCCCAACCCCTTGAAATGATAGCAACTCATACAGCAACTCCGATTCCCGTGAAGTCGTCCGGAATTTTCCCGGCGCGTTAATCACTCAGCTCTGCGATCCAACATCCTTTCGGGCTCCGTCGGCTCCTTTTTGGGTACCTTTTTTGTTTTGTTTGCGGACAGGCGATGGCACAAAAAACGGACACGAGGCGCCCGAAGAGTTACGATTTCATTAACATGAGATATGGCGAGTGCCAAAGCGCTGGTCGCTCCGAAGTCGAGGGTTTTTTGGGTGGATTGTGGGCGGTTATGGTGGCTATGGTGGCTATGGTGGCTATGGTGGCTATGGGTTATGGGCAATGGGCTATGTGGATTCGGGGCTGGGGGGGACTTGGGATTGAGGTTTTTTGGGGTCGTTCCGGGGGTCGTGTTGGGCTGGTTTATGGCTCAAGTGTTGGCTTGTCGTCGCCGCTTGTGTCGCACTGCGTTGTTAATTGCTACAAAGAGAGCGCTCGAAGGAGCGACAGGGACAGGTGGATGCGTGCACTCGGAAAAATAACTGATATTATATGCCAAACTCATCTTGGAAAGGAAGCCACCGTAATTTTATTCTTTTTATTTACTTAATATTTGTATTTTTCATTTCATTTCAATAATAATTCCCAGAGGTTTCTAAAGGTTCAAAGATTTATTTAGTCAGTAAATTAGAATGTCCTTATTTCAATCCCATGTTATTCTTTATATTTAAAAACCATAATAATTTCTGGCAAAAACAAGGCACACAGCTAGAAATCAAACTATTTTGTCCAGCTAGGAACCTAATCTAGCAGTCCCCATCACTCGTCGACACACTTTTAATTTGGACAAATTTTAAATTTTTTTTAAGGGGTTACATTACTTTTTTTTTGCGAGAATGGGTTTCAATACCAATGGATCTTTCGGATATTATAACGAGTTAAACGAGGTATGGCATTCCAATATATGGCCATTATTTTTATGGTTATCGACCAAATAAATAGATTTATGCGGGAAAAATCGAGTAAAAGTTTTTAAAAATGTTTTCATTGTTTGAAAAAATGCAGTTCTGTTGTTTCAGTGCACACGAAAAGCGACATCTCAGGGTCGCTTCATATGATTAGCAAATGTTTTGTTTTTCACTATGCACTAAAAACCGGAGGAAATGGGAAACGCACCAGCTAGCAGCTGTTTGTTCGGTGGGTGATGTTTTGGTGGGTGGTGGCTGGTGGCTGGTGGGTTGGTTTTCCGCCCGACGACCCTAACCCCAAAATGGCTGGCAAGTTTTGTGTGCGCCTTTGTGCGGTGGTGTCGTTGGTTGGAGGTTGCTTAATGTCGGGTGGCCACTGTAATTGCTGCTCTATGCGTGTGTGTGTGTGTGTGTGTGTGTGTGGGTTTAGCTGTCTCTGTGTGCGTGGCCAGTTTGGGAGAGTTGAATTTCTTGAATTAATAAAATGTCTTCATTATTTAAATTGCACGCACGACCACAGAGAACCACCCAACCACCACTCAAACATATGTGTGTGTGTGTGTGTGTGTCGCCTGACATGCATATATCTCCCCCTGCGACTTTGTGTGTGTGTATTTATGTGTGTGTGTGCGACTGAGTTAATTAGCAGCTGGGGAATTGTGAAATATATTAATATTGTACATTTCGGTGGGTCTAGGTCCAAATACCCACCCGAAAGCCCCGTCGATAAACCACAACAAGCCGTGTCACACATTCCATTTCCCACTTCGATGGTCCTTTTGTGGTTAATCCAAATGGAAAGGGGATTTCGCGGTGGTTTCACCAAGTGGAGCATAGATTTCTGCTTGCCACTACTGATCGAATAGCAGATAGGAAAATTCATTCAAATATATGTATGTGTTGGGTGGCGAAAGAGCTCTGCTCGAAAATAGGAGAAAAAAATATATATGATGAATGAAAAGTGACATACTTTTAGGCATATGGGTTTGTTGTAAAATTCAGCCTAAAAGCATATTTTTTTATCATTTCTTCAAATTTTAATAATTAATAAATAGCTTAATCAAAATATAAATAAGCTAAAATAATTGATTTAAGGGTATATACATTTTTTATAGGTGTATTTCCCGACTTTAAGGCGATAGTATCGATAGACCAAAAAAAGCTCTACGATTAGGCACAAAGATCGCCACCAGGTGGCGTAGTTGATATAAGCAGACAACATCAACAGGTGTAAGGTCAAAGTTCTGATTAGAAAAACATGTTTATAAATTTGGCTCGTTAATATGTTTTGGAATAGGGATTTGGGACTTAGAATGCATCATTTTAGTGAATGGGAAAACATTTTAAAAATAATAATCCTTACTAATAATAGCCCAAACAGCTGTCAGTAAAACTACTTATTCAATTTGCGACATGTACATATATATTATGAAACGAAAAACTTTACTGAATGGCTGGACAAGTAAATGCAATGTTCTGGGCCCATCCCTGATATACACAGTCGGTTTTCCATAGCTCAAACCTAGATTGGACCTATATGACTTAATATCTAGCCTTACTAGGGGGGTTTGAGTTATGCATGGCATTTGTTTTGGATAGTATATCCTCCTTGGCCGATCACTTGAGACCGCCGGTGACCTCGATGGCGGCCCCATTGACGTAGGAGGATTGGGGGGAGGCCAGGAAGGCGATCACCTCGGCGATCTCCTCCGGCTGGCCCAATCTTCCCAGGGGACAGCGCTGAACCACCTGCTGTTTGATGGCGTCGGGCACCACGGCAACCATGGGCGTGTCTATGTAGCCGGGCAGGATGCAGTTCACCCGGATGCCGAACTTGCCGAACTCCTTGGATGCCACCTCGGTGAAGGAGATGACGCCGGCCTTGGTGGCCGCATAGTTGGCCTGGCCCACGTTGTTCATCTTGGCCACGATGCTCGATAGGTTCACGATGCTGCCGTGCTCCAGCTTCTGCTCGATCATGGCCTTGGCGAAGGCCTGCGTGACCAGGAAGGTCCCCTTCAGGTTGACCCCGTACACATCGTCGTAGTCCCGTTCGGGCATCTTCAGCAGATAGCCATCGCGGGTGATCCCCGCCGAGTTGACCACAATGCTGGGGGCCTTCGAGAATTTCGCGAGCGCCTCGGTCACCGCGGATTGGACACTTTGGGCGGATGAGACGTCCACCTCCAGGGCGGCCGATCGATCCGCACCCAGTTGCTGGGCCGTTTCCTGGGCCGCCTTGAGGTTGCGATCGGCGGCGATCACCAGGGCTCCATCTCGGGCCAAAAGACGGCAGGTGGCACGCCCGATTCCCGAACCGGCACCTACAAAAATTGTATGATCACTATACACACGGGCCACCTGGGAAATGGAAATGGAAATGTGAAACCCACCTGTTACCAGAGCCACTTTTCCCGCTAGCACTCCCGCTGACATTCTGGCTGCACTTCTGCTCCGTAAATCACTCAATAAACAGCAGTTTTCGCCTGTTCTACCCTCGAACGTGTGACAAACTCTCTAATCATAAAAAGTTATCGCTGGCCCAGTCAAACAGCTGTTCAAAAGCTGATATGCCATTAGAAAGCTGAGCATAACTGGGGGCAAGCTTTTTAACACGATCATTTGGCAAGCTTTCGAATGGAATCATAACTAGAAGTATAGGGGAAAAAAATTTCGACAAAGCTTTCTGCAGAATTCGAAAAAACTAAAACTTTTAAACATTATCATATAATTATTTATATAAGATATTTATGTTAGAGCAACTGTTTTGTAAAGCTGGTGACATATACTCTAAATCTCCGTTCGATTAAGAAAAACAGGGATACATCATGCCAAAATAAGACCCAAAGTCAAAAGGGTTGCTATTTTGAACTGCTGGCAACCTATGCAATTCATCCCTGATCGATTGAAAAAAATTAATTTAGTTTTGACAAAAAAACCAAATTTTGAAAAAAGTTTTTTGAAAAATTTAATTATGTCCAAATTTCTGACTTTTTTGTAAGGGGGTACATCATCATTTTTTGCAGAAATTTGAAAATCTGAAAAAATTTTAACTGTGAATGCCATTCGATTGGAAATTTTATTACGAATTCAACGGTGTATGACATTCCAACATTTGATCATTATTTCCCAGGGCTTTGACACAAAAACCACATTTTTAATGTGTGTTTTGCGATTTTTGGCAATTTTTAAACAAAATTATTTCTGAACAGTCTTTTTGTTGTAACTTTGCCAAAATAAGACCCAAATTCAAAAGAGTTGCTATTTTGAACAGCTGGCAACCTATGCAATTCATCCCTGATCGATTGAAAAAAATTAATTTAGTTTTGACAAAAAAACCGAATTTTGAAAAAAGTTTTTTGAAAAATTTAATTATGTCCAAATTTCTGACATTTTTGTAAGGGGGTACATCATCATTTTTTGCAGAAATTTGAAAATCTGAAAAAATTTTTAACTGTGAATGCCATTCGATTGGAAATTTTATTACGAATTCAACGGCGTATCACATTCCAACATTTGAGCATTATTTCCCAGGGTTTTCACACAAAAACCAAAATTTGAATGTGTTTTTTGCGATTTTTGGCAATTTTTCAAACAAAATTATTTCTGAACAGTCTTTTTGTTGTAACTTTGCCAAAATAAGACCCAAATTCAAAAGAGTTGCTATTTTGAACATCTGGCAACCTATGCCATCGATCCCTGATCGATTGAAAACAAATAATTTAGTTTTGACACAAAAACCGAGTTTTGAAAAATGTTTTTTGAAAAAATTATTTATGTGCAAATTTCTGACTTTTTTGTAAGGTGGTACATCATCATTGTTTGCAGAAATTTGAAAATCTGATAAAATTTTAACTGTGAATGCCATTCGATTGGAAATTTTATGACGAATTCAACGGTTGAGTTGATACAAAACTCGATTTTTAAAAATGTTTCTTAACAAATGTGTCTATGATGTATGGCATTGCTACTTTTCTTCTGGAGAAAGGCAATTTAAATAAATTAAGCCTATGGAAGCCATTTGAAATCACCTCCTAAAAGTATTCAAAGAAACACACTGTATATTTTTTGCCATTTCATTTCCCGTCATATCTTTCACTCTAATGGTATGAGGTAGTACTCCTCCAGTTGGGGACCTGCGATATCCGAGCTCCTGACACCACCATTTCCGATACTCCTGGCCAATCCGAACTGCCTGAGCAGCTTCTTGAGATATCTTCTGGGAATCTTCACCAGCTGCCGCCGGATAATGCGCTGCACTCTGTTCCACGGGCGACTTCCACCGCGGCGATCATCTTCGGGGTCCTCCAAGTCCTCCCGGTCCTGATAGCCAACCTGACTTGGTTCGACCTCCTCCTCCTCCTCTGGCTGATCCTCATCCTCATCCTCATCCGCGTCCTCGTCCTTTTTGGGCTTAAAGCTAGACAACTGCTGCACGAGCTGTTGCAACTGCTTCTCGCTCAGCCGACGGAGATCTATGGCATCGTTTTGGGATCGCAACTGGAGCCGCGATCCACAAGCATTGGCCGAAATGCCTGGAATCGAAGGGGCCAAGATCGCAGACGCGATCAGAACGGTCAGCAGTCGGAGTCCACCCATGTTTGTCCAGAGCCCCGGGCTAAACGGCCGCTTAAATACCCAAAATGTGCCCCATCATTCGCCACGATCCGATCTGTTCGGTGATCTCGGCCCAGAAATGTGGGTCAAGTGCGTACTTCTCACCAAATTATTTCACTGGTTCTATGCCCATTAAGGCTATTGGCTGCGAAGTAAGAAGCCACAATTGTCTTCTGCTTTTGTTCGACCCTGGAGATCAACGATCGCCGATCTTTGGATGAGGTGGTTGATCGCCAAATCATATCGATATACGTTCAGTCGCATATGTGGGCCAAAAATATACATTTATGAACTATTTGAACTAATATACAATTATGAGTTTTGAACATTCATTAAGTCGATTGTACAAATTTCACTTGGCTTCAAATTAAACTGACCTGAAATTAGTATATGTATATGCGAAATATTGGATTGGAAATGTTTTTTTTACGAGTTCAACTATGTATGACATTCTTCCTTGAAACATTACTTCCCAAGGTATTGATACAAAATTCGATTTTCTGAGTGCTTTTTTAGGGTTTTCGCAGAAATATTAAATCAAGTTTCTTTAAAGCTTGTTTTTTGTAACTTGGCAAAATGAAGTCAGCAAACAATACTGGCGAAATATTTATTGAAAGTGTTGTAAACTATTATTATTGATTTTAAAATACTGAGTGAATTAATAGATATTTCCAATCTAGCTTACATTGACTCAAAAAACAAAACAGGAGAAAAAAGGGGTTTTATTTTATATAAGGCGCAACAAATTTATTACTTTTTATTACATCAACTGGTTTAACCAATGAAATTATATTTATTAATAAATGTGGTATAATGTCCTCATTTGTGGTGGCAATTTTCGATGGTGCAGTACACGTATATTTTTGTAATTTCTGAAAATGAGTGACCTTCTCTCAGACCCCATATTTCGAAACACCAACAAAAACAACAATCGCGTTACTTGTGAAAGGGCTTTATTAATGTCATATGTCCCGCCGCAGGAAGTGTGGCAGTCTCGAAGTAAGGCTACAATAAATTAGAAAAAAAAAAATTGTTCATGTCGGCTAGTGGGGGTGTGGGTGGCGGATCGACCGAGTGATCCTGCGCTCCCGATCCAGGATACCCCTTTACACGGCGGTGATGCGATTGCGACGGTTCTTGTTGCGGTTGTTGCGGCGATTCTTCTTGTTGTTGTTGCCGTTGCGTCGCCTGTTGATGTTGCCGTTGCGGTTGTTGTTCCTGTTAATCTTCTTGGCCGGCACGCGTTTGCGGACGACACGGCGCTTGGTGGCGGGCCGACTGCCCGTGTTGAGCATCACTTTCTGGCCGTTCTTGAAGTAGCGCCTGTAGCGGGGCGGGATGCGCACGCTGATCACCTGGCCGCGGCGAGCGCCCTTGCGCCGCAGACTGATGTGGTTGCTCTGGGTGGCCTTGCTCTCGGTGCCGGCCAAGCTGGCGGATCCGGCGGTGCCCTGGACCTCCTGCTCGGTGACCACCTCGTACTCCTGGGCGCCGGCTGCCAGGGCGGCCTGCAGCGCCTGTTCGTCCATCAGCTCGGCGGGATAGGCCTGGGCGGGCAGCTGCGCCTCCTGCTCCTGTTCCTGTTCCTGCTCCTGATCGAGGTCCTGCTCCTTCTCGCCGTCCTGGTCCTGGTCCTCGTCCTGGTCGACGCTGCCGTAGCGGGCTCCCTTCACAATCGTTGGCCCGAAGGTCCTTTGGGGCGTTGGGCTTGTGGTGGTGGGGGAGGTGGTGATGGTGCCCGTGGCCGAGGGAATCGTTCCCGTCGAGGTCACCGTCACCGTGGGCGAGGTGCCCGTGCCCGTGTTCGTGGTCGTGCCCGTGCCCGTGCCCGCACCCGTGATAATGATGGGAATCACCGGCTGGTTGCTGCTGCTAAACAGATTCTTGAAGGTGAGGAACTTCTTCAGGAAGAGCCTGCCGCTGGAGGGATCCTTGGCGCCGGCAGCTCCTGCTGCCCCGCTGGCCACCTCCTTCTCCTCCATCTGGCTCGACTTCTGGGCCAGCTTCTTCTCGGGAGCCGCCTGCACGGCCAGGAGGCCGAGGGCCAAAAGGATCACTACTGCTGGCAACTTCATCTTCTTTTCGGTTTGGCTTTGTCGGGAAACTACTCGGCGAAGAGAACTTTTCGGGGTGGACCAAAATCTCGGTGACTTCTGCTGCTGCTCGCCGTTGGCTGGACAATCAGGCTCTGATATTTTAATGGCCCGGCTCAGGGGCTTTTATACTGGCCGCTGGAATGCAAATGAACGTAGAGTGCCCCAAACGGCAAACGGTAAAATGGTGTGTACACACAATTGAAATTCAATTGATCGCAAGTCGCAAATCGCAAATCGCTGCCAGCTATATTGTGTATTCAACCGGGTTCTGCCGGTCATCCCATGCCTTTTTTCAACCAAGCGGAACGCCATTTCTTCTGATCTTCTGGCTTATGGTTTATGGTTACTGGTTTCTGATTTCTGATTTCTGATTTCTGATCTCTGAGTTTTAGCAGTGCCTTGGGCCTTCGCTGGAGTGGGCTCAAAAAAAAGTGAAAATCCATTGAAATTGATTTCTAATTGAAGACGCTGGGTCGAAGGTGGCCCACAACAGCCTGCGAAAGTGACCCACAAAGTGCCACAGCTCGAGCTTCGAAGATTTCGAAGATGAAATGGTACAGCCATGAAACCTTAACTAGAAATATTATAACCATATTATTATTTAACAATACTTTTAATGGCTCTTAATCTTTAAATACATACATTAGTTAAAGAAATCGAAATAGTTGAAATGGTTCCCATTTTACCTTGTACTCTGCAATAAAACATGCAACTTGTTTATACATAGCTTGAAATTAAAACACACTCATAATTTTAAAAAATTTCGAAATTAGTAATTTCAAAATTTTGTATGTACTATGTTTTAAAACCTATTGCTTGACATTTTTGACATGCACACTTGCTTGTAGATTTAAATATATTTAACCCTGAACGTTTCCTTTTCTATTTATATTTCGTTGTCAGCTTTAAAATTAATCCAATTAATATTTTCGCAATTTCTATTGTACTTTGCATTGAAACATTCAACTTGCTTAGAGATTAAAAATAAAACACACACATCATTTAAAAAGGGGTCATAATTTTTAAACATATTGCTGGAATTTTATATATTTATTCCTAATAGTTTCCATTATTAACTTGAAAGCCTTAAAAATTAATTTTAAAACATGTATAACCATAACATAATGCACTCATATCTAATAGGAACCATTTTAAATATTTATTTTCATTATACCATTTTTCATCAGTGCACCAATGGACAGTCTCTCTCTAAATTTGATTTATAAACATGCTGGCGTAAATACTTATTCTTATATATATATATATATTATATTAAGTATGTTTTTGGATCAACTATTATTTCCGGAAACACACATAAAGCGATAACCTATGCAACACAGAGCTTTGATTTTAGATTTTCAAAATATTGTTAAAGTTGTACAATATGAAATTAATTAATGAAATTGGTGCGGCGTTACCATGAGTTATTTGTTTAGCATATGAATATAAAACCCTTCGGATTGGTCACTTAAAGCTGTCCCTAGTAAATACCTCAACTAACATTGTTAAATCAGAATGGACTTATAGGTACTTCAGGGATTAAATCTCTTATTAGGGTTCTTAAGGACTGCCCCTGCTAAATTTTCTAAAATGAATAGGATAATGACATATTTTTTTATTTATTTATTTATTTTTTTAACTAGGTACTTTAGGGATTGAACCTCTTGGGGTGGTCCCTTAGGCTGGTCCCTACTTCCATTAAAAATGGCTCATAGGTACTCCAGGAATTGAACATCTTAGAACGGGCCTTATGAATTGTCCCTGCAATATTTTGTAAAATGGCAATTTTTTCATTTTGTACTATAGGTACCCTAGGAATTGAACCTATTTGGATGATCCCCACTGAAAGCCCGCAGAAAGTGATAAGAGAATGAGCTATTTTGTTCGATATTCGCTTTATTGAAACCATTTCGCATACAGGTCGGGGGTTGTGGGTCAAAGGTCAGCTGTCAGCTGTCAGCTCCCTAGTTGCGGCGACGGTTGGCGCGACGGCGCATGCGCAGGCGGCTGATGCGGTTGTTGCGGCGCAGGCGGCGGCGGGCGTTGCGGTGGCGGCGGTTCTGCGAGCGGCGCCTCTGGTTGCTGCGGCGGATGGCGCGGCGGCGCTTGGCCTGCTGGCGGTTGCGCACCCGGCGGCGGTTGTTCTGGGCGCGACGGCGGTTCTGGTTAGTGCGGCGCCTGGCGGCGTTCAGCTGCTTGCGGAGTCGCTGGTTGAGGTCCTTCTGCCGGCGCAGCTCGATCTCGCGCATAAGTTCGTTGGTGGACATGTTGTCTTTCGATCCGGAGGCGGAGGCGGAGGTGGAGCTGCCACGACGGCGCATGGAGGAGGAGGAACCAGAGGCCTTGGGTGTCGCCAGCTGGAAGCTCTCGTCATCGTTGTCATCGGCCTCCTGGTCATCCTCCTCATCGTCCTGCTCCTTCAGGTACTTCTCCTCCTCGAACTCCTCGTCATCCTCCTCGTTGTCCTTCACCTGGTTGTTGCCATTGCCCAAGAAACGGGCCGTGGTGGTGGGGCTGCCGGTGGTGGGGGATCCGGTGGTGGGGGAGCCAGTGGTGGGGGAGCCAGTGCTCGTGGTGGTGCCAGTGCTGGGGGTGGACCCGGTGGGCGAGGTCGTCTCCGTGGTGGTCGAGGGCAACGTGCTGGTGGTCATCGGTGGCGGCGGCGGCGGACAGGCGGGCTGCTTCAGGGCCATCAGGTGCTGCAGACTGCGAGCCTCGATCTGAACGGGCTGCTTGAAGAGGCGGTACCTGGTCTGCTGCTCCGTCTCCTTCTCCTGGGCGGGTTCATCGTTGGAGCGGGCCACTAAAAGTAAAGGGTAAAGGGCATTAATAAAACTGTATTTTACGAAGCATTTCGTTTCTTGATTTCAAGGCCGAAAGGGCGGGTTCTCAATTAATTGTGTTAAAAATGTTGGTTAATATCAAGCCATTAAGAAGCTAGAAATATTTTAGGTAATTATATTTTCTTAGGTGTTCATGTATCAAAAATATTATGGATGTCACAGATATTAAAAATTTTATATAAGAAAGTGTTTTTTTTTAATTTAAGATATGTAGTCATTTATATGTAGCTTCAAAATTCAAGATTTGTAAAATATTTGATGTTGCTTTGGCAATTTATGAAATTTCTTTTAGAGCCAATTAAATATTGAAGAATTATTTTAAAATATTTTTAGTGAGTTCCTAGAGCTTTTTTATCAGCAAATTGCGAAAAGTGGAATAAATTATTTTCCTTTGATTTTGCTGGACTTAGACTTAGACTTCAAGGAGCACCGACTAAGAGCTGAACTCACCAGCTGCCTGGGCAATGATTGCTGTGCCCAGAATCAGCAGAGCGCCGTAGAAGAACTTCATCTTGGGGATCTCGTGGGTAATTCCTTTGGAACTGGACTGGGCCTTCGGATTGGACTCGAATTCGACTGGAGGACTGTGCCTGAGGGAAGGTCGCTGGTGGACTGTGATATTGCCAGCGGCCAGCCGGGGTTATATACCCCACGCTCCAGTTACGGATCTAACAACAACGCAGCCCAGAATCGACGACCATAATTCTCATTATCATTTCTTTTTCGCAAATTTGCACATTCGCCAAAAGTTTTTGCATAAATTTCGGTGACCGCTCGCCGATCGTTGAACTAGTTTGACCCATGCGACATATTTCAGCCGAAGTTCGCTGAGGTATTTCGCATCGATTGGGTGGTGATTGATAAACGCAGAGTACCAAGTTATTAGTATTCACCATTAGTTACCTGATTCTTGTTCATCAATTTGGCATTGCAATTTACAAGTGTCATAATGGATGTCACAGAACAATTAGTTCACCCAATAAAACAAGATTTTGTTATGTTTTAATACTATACTTTTCTATTTTCGCTTTCCAAAACTATGTTTACATCCTCTCTCTTACAATCGTTAAACAAATCAAAGCTTATGGATATTTTAGAAAAGTGTATCTGTTAAAAATCCGATTTTTCGTTTTTATTTTTTATGTATATATATATATTATATGGGTCAGAGATTTTTCAACTTTCCATTTCAGTGCAATATGCTAAGGAAGGGCAGGAATTACCTTGAATGTTACTGGGGGCTAATAAAAACTATGTTAAGTTTTTAAAATGCAAAAATGTTACTAATATTTTATTTCTTTCACTTATTGTAACGCTAAGGCTGTCAAACGTTATCGCTTCTGAAAAAAACAGTAAAGCTTGTTATTTATACGAAATGCATATTAGAATATAAATATTTCTTTAAGATCGGACTTCATAGTTACGTGGCAGAAATGCGTGATCCTTTACGATTTCAAACACTTTTGACTGTTGGGCTGTCTACTGAGCTTTTGAAAATATTTGATCAGCGAAGTGTTCGCGATGGTCGATATCTGTTGCATTTTGAAACAATTGCTCTCGTAAGTCGGCTAGTCGCCCTTTGTCTAATTGATAATTTATAAGTTCCTGAACTTGTTAGGAATTCTCAAGCTATCAATTAAGACTCCTAAAAAGTATGAGGTTGTTGATGATCTTAAATAATCTGAGTGTGGTAACATACCCTAAGTCTACACCTTCATTTACTATTTAAAGATGATTACAAAAATAATACGCTTTAAAAATTCTCAGAAGTGTTGTTTCGTGGATGATCCTTTAAAACGGATTCAGTAATTTTAAGTTGTTTTTTTTTGTTACTTGCTTATATTCAAAATCTTCTTAAAAAGTACCCCATCTTAGAAGGTCCCCTGAAAAGGTACTTTTCACGGCAGGCTCATCGTTGAGGCCATGTTTAGGGCATTATTTCTAAAAATAAAGACAATTTAATATAAAATCAATCCTATTTTAAAAATGTTCAATAAAGTATAAAAGTCATTTCCAAACAAGGTCCACTCTAGTCGGCGCCGCAAATGTGTGCTCTGGCGGCACCACTTTTAAAGTGGTACAATCTCCATTACCCTACTCAGAAATACTCAAAAAAATATTTAAGTGCTGATGATCCACTTTAAATGGATCAAACCAAAGGTGGTGGCATGGCCCCTTCTATTAAAAAAAAAACCAATAAAAATATTGTATCATTACAATTTATTCGATGTCATTTGGACAAGGTCCACCCTAGGCGGCGATGCAGATGACGCGGTTGCCGTTGAGGGTGCTTTGGCGGCACCACTACAAGTGGTTTCTGTAACTTTAAAGTTATAAAACTAGGAATGGTTACATCTCCTTTTAAAAATCCTCAATTTCCACCACCCTCCATTGATCCGTTGAACTTTAAGGATTTCAAACCAGGACTGGTAACATTCCCCCTTCCTATTAAAAAAAAACCCATTAAGAGTATTGTATCAATGCAGTTTATTCGGGTTCACTTCAGATTTGATTATTTCCGGACAAGGTCCACCCTAGGCGGCGATGCGGATGACGCGGTTGCGGTTGGGGGTGCTCTGGCGGAAGCGGTTGACCAGGCGCATGTTGGTGCGGCGGTTGCGGTGCTGGCGGCGCCTCTGCTGCTGCTGCCTGCGGCGGCGCTGCTGCTGGCGACGCTTCTGCTGCTGGCGGCGCTTCTGCTGTTGCTGCTGGCGGCGACGGCGCTGCTGCTGCTGGCGGCGGCGGTACTTCTGCTGCATCCGCTGGCGCTGCCTCCGGGCGTTCACCTGGCGGCGGCGGTTGGCCTGCGCGCGGGCCACCTGCTGCTGCTCCTCCTCGTCGTCGTCCTCGAGCTGGAAGCGGTTGTGGTGGGACTCCACCTGCTGCTGCTCCTCCTCGTCGTCCTCCTCCTGGTCGTCGAGCAGCTCTACTTGGCGGCCATCGCCAGTGGCAGTGTCGGTGGGCGTGTCAGTGGTGGGAGTGGTGGAGGTCGTGGAGGTTCCGGTGGAGGTGGTGGGTCCAGTGGGCGAGGTGGTCACGGTGGTGGTGCCCGAGGGCACGGTGGTGGTGGTGGGTGCCAGGGTGGTGGTGCTGCTGACGCCCTTCAGGCTGTTAAGGATATCGGTCAGCTGGCTGGCACTCAGGCGACCTTGGGCCGCGGGCTCATCCCGCTGGCGTCCGAAGATCTGGAAGTTCTGCGGCTTGGCTGTGGATTGAGAAGTCAAACAATCGATATAAGAAGCTTTTGGCTTTGGGATCCAATGGAAAACCCACCGCTGGCAAGGGCCGCCAGGCAGACCACTATCAAAAGTCCCTTCGTCAGATGCATCTTTGTCTATGGATGTGTATCCTTTGGATGGGTTCGGCGGTGCTTTAATAAGTATCTCTTGGATGGCCGGGCTGCTGTGACTGACTTCTGGGGTTGGGAGCCGGCATATTTATATGTAACCATGGCCCTTCGCATTACAAGAAGTTACAACAAATGGTTCTACAGCCCACGGGTCACTGAGCGAGAGGGGGAGAGTGCCGTGTAACAGCGGAGAAAGCGAGATGGCTTGTAAGTTTAGGCCTACTGCCAAGAAAGGGCCTGCAAAGGGGCCAAACAAACAGCCAACCGGCGTTGTAAGCGCTTTGCATAATAATGCCATAAATAATCGCCCTCTGACCCGTAACCCCAAGCAGCCCAGTGCCAATGCCAATGCCAATGCCAATAGCCAGCCCATCGATCGATCGCCGCTAATCATTTGCATATGGCTCGCGAATCGTCGCTGGGCATTTGCATATTCATATTCGGTTCTGATTTCAGATTTCGGATTTTGTTTCTTAGATTCTGATTCAGATTCTGATTCTGAGTCGCAAGCCTAAAAACCAAAGGGCGAAAGTGGAGGCGACTGGTCAATGAACCACCGAAGCAGTGACCCCACACACAATTCCGCGAAGAAAGACATTTGGAATCGGAGAAAGAGTTCCAGTTCGCACGTTATTACAATACTTTATTCGATTTTATGCGAGTTTGCTAGTGGAATTTTTCTGTTCTGTAAGGAAATGCTATTATTTTCAATTCCATATTCTTTTACTCAGCAAACGATCAATTTTTTAAAGAATATTTCTCCTAGTTTTTCTTATACACAATAAAATTTAAAGAAAATAAACAGATTAATACCATATTGTGGACTATGTATTATTCCATTCTTATCTTTATACATTATGAAATGGAGTTAACATATTTGTAAATGTTTCCTTTGGGTCTTAAGTCTTAAGCTCTTAATGCTTTTTAAAATATCTTCTATGATCTATACAATTCTTGCAACACAGTTCTTATCTTTTTTTTATTGAGATGTGATCTTGTTATTTTCATTCAATATATTTTATAATGGTTTTGATACTCAAATAGTTTTCTCCTTAGTGAAATATATTATCCCCAAAGATCTTTGCTGGTGGCTATATATATTTGATTCAATCACTAAAGATCTTTGCGGGTGGAACCTATAGGGTTATTCAAACATCACATATCACATATCTGTTTGACATATCATCCTTTATAAGTCTTTGAAAAACTCGCTTGATTTAGTAAGCTCCACTTTGGCTATACTATTCCATTTAGGATCCCCCATGTAATAATGAAAAAAAAAAATGGGTGCTGTTGTTTTGCATACAAGTTCAGTTTATTCGGGGGGTTCGGATCGGTTGGCTAGGGGTCACCGTTGAGGTCACCACCGCTTAGTTGCGACGACCGCCGCGGCGACGGCGGCGCAAGATGCGCAGGAGGCGGCGGCGCTGCTGCTGGCGGTGGCGCCGCTGGCGCTGTTGCTGCTGCCGGCGGCGACGGCTCATCTGGGTCTTGCGCTGGCGCTGGCGCTGCGCCCTGGAGCGGTTGCGGTTGCGGCGCTGGCGCAGCGAGTTGCGACGACGGCTCTGCTGGCGCTGGCGGCGCAGTTGCTGCTGGCTGCGCTTTTCGGCGGCCCGCTGGCGGCGCAGCAGCGCCCGGATGCGCTGGTTGTGCTCCCGCTGGAGGCGCTGGATGCGCCGCCGGTTGCGCTGCTCCGCCTGGAACTGGCGCCACTGCAGCTCGGTGGGGCGGACCACGGATCCGACGGAGTCGGCGGTCTGCGGCTGCACCACGGCGTTGTTGGCCACGGGGGCGTCCACGTAGAAGCTCTCCTCGTCGTCCTCGTCGTTGTCCTCGTCCGCCGAGCTGCCGCCCTCGTCGTCGTCGTCCTCCTCCTCGAAGGACCTGGGCATCTCGTCCTCCTCCTCGTCGATCTCCTCGTGGTTGAAGCCGCTGCCGAAGGCGCGACGGGTGGTGGCGGTGCCGGTGCCGGTGCCAGTGCCGGTGGTAGTGGGCGTGTTGGTGGTGGTGGAAGTGCCCGTGGAGGTGGTGGGTCCACTGGGCGAGGACGTCACTGTGGTGGTACTGGGCGTGTCGGTGGAGGTGAGACTCGCTATCGTGGTCGTCGTGGTGGTGCCCTTCAGCGCGGACAGCTTGTTGGCGATCGAGGAGGTGAAGCGGGCCTCCAGAGGAGCGTCCGCGGAGGAAGCTCCACCCAGGCGGTACACACTGCGGCGTTCGGCTGAGGGGTAGGGTACAAAAAACACTCAGTAGGGAAGAACTACTCTAAGCCAAACAAAAAGAGGGCAAAACTATTGCAAACGCAGACTAAGCATAGCCATAAATAAAAACAAAATAATCTATTGAGTAAGAAAGTAAGCAAAAGCGTGTTAAATCAATTCTAAAATATTTATTTCACAAAGCTAATTAATTTATTATTGCAACTTTTGTGCAAGACAAAATTAGGTAAAATAAAGTCGAAATAAAAACTGATCTTAGTTATAAATATTCAGTAAGAAATTGTGTAAAAGCTTGTAAAATCAATCACTTAAGTTCAGCAATAAAATTAAATGAATTAAAAAAACTTTTTACAAAAAAAAAACTCAACTAAATTAAGTCACTAGTATTGAGTTTTTAATTTAGTTTTAAAACAAGAAAATTTAAAGGACTTACAAGAGACCCTTAAAAACCAGTGTAGTAATAAAACAAAATGAATAATTTACAAGCCGATCGAGAAAATGTTGTTAAATATGGGAAAAACAATATCTTAGCTAAAGGCAATCGGCGTTAACCGTTAGATCTTTTCAAAAGTTATTAAGATTGGACATTTTGAAAATTATTTGCTTTTCTTAAGTTTCTTAAAAATGGTAAATGATGCTTGATAAAATAAAGTTTATAAACTATATAAGATATTTCAAAGAGTTAAAAAAATAATATTTTTATGAGTGAGACTTTTTTGCAGACTTTGTCTTTGTTTAAGCTAAACAATCGGATATCAGAGGGCTTTTATTTGTTGAAGAATAGAGGGCTTTGCTGCTGCTTTGCCTTCTTCTCTTACTGTTTTGAGCAAAGTGATTTCGCTTTTTCGATGAAGAATCAAAGAATAAGGGCCGTTAATACAGCCCTTTCTTCTTGTGTTAAACTTTAGTATATTTTCAAGGACTCACCCAAGGTGGCGGATGGGGCCAAGAGGGCACAAAGGGCCACGGCCAGACTCAGTTGAAGCAGGCAATGCATTCTGCAGGTGGTTCTCCTGGATTTCCTTGTGGGGATTTTGGGGGTTTTTCGGGATTTCCTTGACTGGGGATCGAGGGCTCCTAACTCACTTGTTGTCTCTGAGTTTGCACTCACAACTGACTGACAACTGATGGACTGAGCCGGGATTATATAGCCACTTGGAGCCGTCCAGCTGATCGATGGCTGTCATCCTCGTCCCTCCTCCAAATTACCCCCCAGTTTCCAATCTTTTGGCCAGCTCTATTAGCCAAAGTTCGCCCGGGGTCAAAGTGAGTCGGGTCGCGGGTCAGAGGCGTACGAATTTTATGCTAATTTGCCATCTCTTTCGCCAAAAACATTCTTCCATCCATCGCCGAGCAGCCGATGATTGATTGACGTCAAGTTGAGATTGACCTCCGGAATCTGGCCCAAACAGAAGTTCTTTGCTGTCACTTCTGCCTTTTCTCCAGCTCAGTTGGTACATCGCATTTCCTTGCAAAAGTGTGGACTAGTTAACTGAAGTTACTTCAATTACAGCATCTGGTTTAATTACCCGTACAAAATTCTAGCTCATTTAATTGAAGAGCGGAAATAAATTTTCAACTAACACAAAACAACTGGATAATTTAAATACTGCTTTGGTTCTTTAGAATGCATATAGAACCAATGTTTTATTCCTAAAATAATTATTTGATAAATAAAATGATTAAAAATATACCAGTACTATATTCTTAACCTTTCAAACTGTTCCACAATTGGTATTCTATAGGTAGTTCGTTAATTTAGTGTATTTACAAGCTATTAAGCTCATTTTATAAGCCCGTTAAAATAATTCCAAATAAATATAATTTCACATCACATTTGGTGTTGTATCAATTGTCTCATAATGTGTTTGGCATTTGCTCTTTATATTTGTTATGCTCTAAGTATATGTAAAATTATTTATTGAACTTAAAACTTCTTCTCAGCCCTTCTAAATATGGAACAATAATCAGTTTCCAACAAATTACTTTCATAAACATTGAAAAAACAACAAGAATATAATTTCCATATCACATTTAATTTGTCTCATAAATCAGGTTTTGTTCGGTAGTGAATCTTTATCATAATATTTGAGAGTTAATGGCAACGTGTTATTCAAAAAGAATTTACTTCTCATCTCCTCTAAATATGGAATCATAATTACTTCATTTTCCATATATTAATAGAAATAACTTTCCAATAAAATTTTTTCATGGCACACACATAGTAATAAAATTTGCTAATAGATGTTATTTTTCCATTACATTTTATTAAAATCATTTGACTGTTGGAATAAGCTTAGTTTTTTCCAATAAGAATTTACTTTCCATCTTCTATAAATATGTAGTATTAATAACTTCCCAATCAAATATTTATATAATATATAAATAATAATAATATTTTAATTAAAGTCTGTGATTTAATGAAAGACATTTGTTCATTTGGATAATCAGAGATTCTGACAAAAATAATTTATTTCTCATCTCTTTAAAATATAATCAACCGCTTAATAACCTTCATTCATATCATAGCCCCCGTATAAATTTAAAATAAATATAATTTGTATATCACATTTTATTTGTTGCATAAAGTTTTGTATACCAAGTGTCTCATAGTTCGTGTCCCATTTTCGGGCGTTGTATCTTAACTCTAACGTTAGATGGAAAATGGCTACATAAATCTTTCTTTATTCAACTCGGAAGCGAATAGAAAGTATTTGATTTCTGTCAATAAGAATATATTTCTCATCAACGCTAGATTTTCTATCTATTAAAATAAATCTGTTCGTATTAATACGAATTTGGGATAAAATCCCAAATAAATATAAATTTCATATCACCTTTTATTTGTCGCAACAAGTGTTGCATATTAATCATTTTCATTATTCGTTGATCTTCACTATTGTATTTGATATAAAATGGCAAAGTGCTTAATAAATTAATCTGTAAATTAATGATTTTGTTCATTGACTTAAGCAGAAATTCTGATCTCTTCTAGATATGATATAATATTAACTCCCCAATTACTTTCATATTATTCACCCAATTAAAATCCAATAAATATATAATTTTCATATCACATTTTATTTGTCGCATCAAGTGTTGTTTAGCAAGTGTCCTGTGTGTGTCGTGTCCTGTTTTCGGGCGCTGGATCTTAACCATAATACTATATAGAGGGGGATTGTTGGGAACCTCCGTTTCCGTGTCCAATCTTAACCCTGGAGGACGACCTGGCCGCGGCGCCTCTGGTTGCCACGCCTCCTCTGGTTGCCGCTCTGGGGGCGGATGACGCGCACGTTGCGCCGGCGGTTGCCATTGCCATTGCCGCCCACTCGACGGCGTCGCTGGGCGGGGCGACGGCGACGGCGGCTGTTGTTGATGCCCCGCCGGCGGATGTTGCGGCGTCCGTTGTTCTTGCGCCTGCGCACCACCACGCGGTTGGCGCGCTCCTCCTCCAGCTCCTCGTCATTGGCTCGGGCGGGGGGCGGCGGATCGCTCCATCAGGGCCACGACGGCGCCATCGGGAATGGCGTCCAGAGCGGCACGGGGCACCAGAAGCGCCGCCTTGCCGGTTTTCTCGTCCAGCACGCTCTGGCCCTCGATCTCGATGATGCCGTCGGGCACCATGATGGCACCGGCCTGGTCGCGCTTCACCATCATCTGCTTGGGGGGCGCCACCTCGGGCATCTGGTCCTGCTCCTGGTCGTCGTCCTGCTCCACATCGTCCTCCTGCGGCTGGCTCTTGCGGTAGCCGAGGCCGCTGCGGGCAAAGTTCAGGCCGAGCTGGTGCTCCAGCTCCTCCTCCTCGTCGTCCTCGTCGGCGTCGTTCTGCTGCTCCTCATCCTGCAGATCCTCATGATCGTCCTCCTCCTCGACAATCTCGAAGCCCTGGACCACGGCGCCGGCATTGGCACGACCCTTGGGTATGGTCAGAAAGAGATAGGGATGCTGTGACCTTTGAACCTGCATCTGCATCTGCATTTGCCCCTGCCCCCGACCCTGCCCACGCCCCTGAAGGCGTGGCTCGGCCAGGGCCGTGGCCACAAGAAGGCAGAGAGCCACCAGCAAGCCAGCTCCCAACTTGGACATCTTTTTATGTGCGGAAAATGCAAAAGGCAACGGCGAAAGGCAAAATAAAGTGATGAAATAGATGAACTGCCGACCGGATCCTAATTGTAAGCAAGGCCCAAACAGAACTGTACGATCTGCGGCGGCGGCATTAGGTTTTTATGCGAAAAGTTCTGGCCGAAGAAAGAGTCGAGAATCCAGAACCCAATGACAGCTGAAGACGGGAGAGAGCCCCAAACACTCAGACATTCAGATGAAGAACATTGGGCATAATTGCGGTCGATGTCGGCATAATTTCAAGTGGCGAAATTTGTGGAAATGTAGAAAAATGGTATAGAAAAATAGAAGTTAGGGTCAGCGACCCTGGCTGGCGGGACAATAGAAAGAGCGCTGAATAAATCAGCAGTCGCCGAATCGAGAAGTCATGCTAATGACAAAACAATCAGAGACACGCACAAAATACTGCGCTTCCAAAAGCCCAAAAAATATCCAGCTAAATAATCAGCCAAAACGAGCCAAAATGAGCCAAAATGAGCCAAAAAAGATCCGAAAAGACTGAGAAAGCCGAGAAGTCAAGGGCCGATCCGAAGTTGTGATGGACCTGCTCTCCAAGTCAGCGACGCATGCGAAGTGCGAGGCATCCAAACCCCGTCCACGGGTCATATACCCAATCCACCGTGGATTTCAATGGGAATACGAGTGGGAATGGAAATGGAAATGGAAGGCAGGGCCAAGATTGATGGACCCTCGTTGGCCAAGAACCATGGCCAGTTGCCGTTCCCGTTCTCGCTGTCGTGATTAATTGGCCAACGAAGTGGCCAAGAGGCCGACAGTAAACTAATATTTTACACGCGATCAATTCACAGACTCAAAAACAGAATTCTCATATTCACCAAATTTATTGGTTGCAGGTGAAAGACTAAGAGTTAACTAGTATTTCACATGCGATCAATTCACAGACTCAAAAATAGATTTTGCATATTCAGCAATACACCCAAGCCGCACAAAGGTTTTATATAATAATGAATTGGATAAATATGAAATATGAAGACTAAGAGTTAAGTAGTATTTTACAAGCTCCAAATTAATTTTCATAAGTATTAAATTCATTCATATATTATAAATTTAGGGTTTGGTTACATTTTGACTTGCTATTAATTTAAATTTATTTATTATTTGTGTGGTCCAATGTAGAAGGTATTTTACAATAAGTAAACTACTATTTTACAAACTCCAAAATAATTTGAGGTGATAAGTCGCTCAATTATTATTAATTAATTAAAAGTTCTCTATCCTAAAGACTTTCATTTAAATTGCCTTTAGACTTAGATTTAGATTAAGATGCCTCCTCCCGAAATATGTTTTGCAGATCATTGTTAAAACGCTTTTAGTATATGAGAGAATAAAATACATAAAAATAAAAAAAAAACAAATGCATTTGTGATTTCTTGCATAGACGATTTAAATACGGATCAATAATCAACATAAATGCGTTAAATAAAATACTTAAAAATACCAAGTCTACAGCTTTTGTGATTGTATGCAGCCACTACCCAAAGATCACTCAAAGATGAGGATGGTAAGGTTCTTCATGCTCAGACCCATGGCTGTGAAATTGCCGGGAGCAGATGGAGGATGTCCGTGGAGAGGCAGAGGAACTCGTAGCCGCTGACCGAGATGGTTGCTCCCAAGATGGCGATCTTGAGCCACTTGATCTGCTTCGATTTCCATTCCCTTCTGGCGAAACCCAAGTTGAGGGCGAACCACTGGCTGCAGCAGAGGCACACGAAGCCGGTAAGACCCGCCACCCGGTGGAGCAAGTGCAGCGTAAGGTGGCTTAGGTAGACGAGTAAGAGTCCGGTGGCCAGCGAAACACCGATCAGCAGGATTCCCAGCAGGCCACAGCATCCGTGCTTGGAGGCGAAGTGCCGATCTCCCTCCTGCTTCCTCTTGGCCCAACTCTTCTGGAAGATGCCCACCGATCCCAGCCAGATGCCCACTATCCCCAGGGCCATGTGCAGCAGGGTCAGCCGCTTCCTGGTCAGCTCCTGGAGCCACCACGAGTGGCTCAACAGCAGAGCCTCGCCCACGCAGAGGAGCAGGCCCAGGGTGGAGAAGACGGCGTGCCTTCCACTCCGGTGGTCGTCCATGCCCCGGGACTTCCTGGCCACCACCAGGGTCAGCACCACCAGCAGGATGTGGGCCCCCAGCTCCAGCACGATCCGGTACAGGTTCACCTCGAACAGGGACATCAGAAGGGGCCAGGCGAACTTGTAGATCACCACATGCGTGGTGGCGTTAACCGCTTGGCTCATAGTTCGGTTTTTTGCATAGTTTACTTTTGTTTCCAGCTCAGAGATTTTTAACTGACACTCCAGACGTTTAAAGAAAGGAAACTACGAACAAAAAATTTTTATAACTCTATTTTTCATCCTACATTTTATATTTTTTACATATATATAATAAACCGCAACTACTTGAATTCTGGTAGACATTTCGTTGATATCAAAAAACAGTCATCCACTTTTGCTTCTTGATATTTTTACTGTCTCTTAAACAGACAAAAATAACTTTGTGATCCAATACCGAAGAACAACGTTTTGCACCATTTTATGCCTATTATTTTAATTGTCAAGGGCTATTCAAATAATAAAAATTAATAAAAATATTATAAAACATTTTAGATTCTGACGGTAAAAAGATTTATCAACTATATATCTATTACATTTTTTTTTAAGCAGAAAAAAAATGAATATCAATTGGTGTCGTTAAATTTTGAATTACTTTTTTACAATTTTTATCGAAGAAAATATCCTTTTTTTTTTTTAATTTTCAAAAATTTGTTGTTTACATTAAATGATCAAGTATTTCAAGTTCATCAAGTCTTCAGAGAATTTACACCCTTTGTAAGGGAAAAAAATAGTTTGTATTTATTTTTACAGGTATAAAGGTATACTTTTTTTCCCATGTCTATAAATTTGGTTTTTTTAATTGATAAAATTTAAGATATTGAAGAAAATATAAGTCATTAAGTTAATAGCATATAATACAAATGTATAATAAACATCCCTTTTTATTTGTCAAATTTGTTTCCATTAAATATTGCTGGCAAAATAGTGGCCTGGGATAACTTGAAGTCTTTAAAATATTCTAGATTTGTGGCATTCCTTACGCCTTTCTTCTCCTAGTCACACTTCATTAACAAACCGGCAGATATTAGCAAATAACATCAAAGAAGTCAGAGGTGTTTCTAGGCAAAAAAATATTTTGTTGTTTGCTCATTCAAAGAATTTATTGATTTTTGCCTATAGCATATTCTGATATTACCTAAAAGTATAAATATTCATAATGCAAGCAAGCTTTTAAGACGGTAGCTTAATTATAGAAGAAAACATTTTAATGCTTAGATCATGAGTAAATGGTCTGGATGACAGTGTTTTTGTTGATCCAGATTTTTTTTGTCATCTATGATACATATACATCGAACTTTTGGTCAGAACGCATAAATTAATTTTGTTCTTTGACGAGGTTCAACTTTAAACTCTGATGAACTGTTGGATAAAACTGGGTCAACCAAAAATGACCAGGTATGGATTGGAGAAATTCCGCTAACGGTTTTCGATTTGTTTCAAAGACCCGCTTATATTAGCTTTTTCCCCCCCAAATAAAGAAATCCACAAGCACTTGGGTCAATTTTAGATTCAAACATATTTTATTGAAGACAGATAAATCCGCTTGGCAACGAGCTGCGAAAACTGCGAAAAATTTCTAAAACAAAAATATTGTGATTATGAAAAAGAAACGGCAACATAATTTCCATAAGAATGTGCCGATGGGAGAAGTTCATCGGGGTCAGGCCGCTGGAAATATGGTATTCAAACGAGACAACGGCACAAAGAAAGCTGCTTTTTTGGCTCTTTTGGTTTTTAGTTTTTAATTTTTGGCCAACTCCGGCAGATGGGTAATAAATTGACCTAAGTCGAAATTATGGGCTGGGCCCCGATTGAGTTGAAAGTTCATTGTCCGTTCCTTAATTAAATGGCCAAAATGGTAAAATGGTAAAAATGGTCAAAATGGTCAAAATGTCCAAAAACCAATTCGGCAGGTGCTGACCTCTGCCTGGGGCAATTTATGCCAGCACACTTCTGAATCGGAGAGTAGGAATTCGATTCGAATCGAAACGAAACTCTTTCTTCGGGCTTTTCTAATTTGGCATCCAGTTGTTTGGCCACTTGACTGAGCGTTAACCCCGGCCTTTTGTCGCTGCGAACCATTAACGATCGCCGGAATATAATGCTGGAATAATGTTGTCAACTGGCCGCGGCTGAAGTGCTCGCATGTTGGCCCAATAGTGTCCGCTCGTTTCGGGATGATTATGCAAATTTCCACCTTTTGGCCCGTGGGCTATGGCCACATAATCGGGCCAAGACTGTTGGCAGCTTCTCGTCTCTGGCATCTGCGATCTGGGATGGGTTTCTATGGATCAGCTCCGCTTGACTGGTTAAATGCTGCCCGGGGTCATCAAGCTGGAAAAGAATTTCTGCGTGTTTTATTTGCCCCAACCAAGAGTCGATTGTGCCGGCGAGAGATTTGTAAAGGTGGTGCGAGAATCGCCTACATTGTGAGAATTTTTGATTTCATGTAATACAATAGCGGATAATTTAATAGTCTCAATATGTAAAGTTTGCTAGTTCTCAACAGCAAATAAATATCACAGTTTCACTTGGAATTTTCCGAAAATTTAAATGCTTGAATATTTTCTATTTCCTGTGCCTTGAAAGTAGGGACGAAATAGTGTTTTCATTAAATAAAATAAATAATTAAAAAAAAAACATAAATTGACTGATTTGATACTATAAAACTATACTATTTGACACACAAAAATATTGATCTTGGACATATGCTTTAATTCTAGAAACATACTTTCGTATTGGTTTTTCTGGGAGATATAAAAAAAATGTTCATATATTATATATATTATTTTATTTAGAATCTTCTAGCTAAGAAATGCATCGTACTAAGACCAATTAAATATTTTAGAGAATAATTCTTATCATTCCAAAAGTTGAAAGTAAGCTTTTAAAATGCCCGATCATGGCCTAGCTTTAAAATTTACTGAACTCGGCTTTTTCAAGTTTATATATTATCCTGCTATAAAGCTCAAAGCTGTGATCTCTGTTACCTAACTTTAAAAATATGCATATCCTTAAGCTCTAAGCTCAGAGATAATTTAATAGTTACCAAGCTTAAAGTTCCCAGAAAAGAATCTACTTTTTTAAAAAATAAATTTGCACAAGAGTTTCTTTATGTTTAACGGTTTAACGGTGTCCTGGCATTAAGTTCATTAAAGTTCTCAGATTTCTAAACTACTGTAAAATGCTGCCTGCCATAAAACTCGAAAGCTGCAATAGATCATTGCATAAGTCCTTTCCAACAATTCCCCAGAAGCTAACTGCTATAAAAACCGTTTGCAAGGTTGCCTTCGATCGATTATTGTTCTCAAGCAACTGTACGCCAAATACCGTTAATCGGTCAACTAATTTGCATATCGATTCGAAATTAATCTCGAAGTTCTTTCAGCGGAATTAATTATGCTTTTGACCCCAACAGCGAATTTCTTTTGTCGCTGGGCGAATATTAATTATGGAAAGGCAAAAAAAAGCGTTGGAAGATATTTAAATCGGTCAAAGCGCACGGGCCTCATTAATAAGCCATGGTTTTTTGGTTTTGGATTAAAGATCAGGTTTTCTGGTCTTTCGAGGTTCAATGATCTTGCGCATACGAAAACTTGAACTTTCAACTGGCCAACGCCAAACAATAAAAAAAATTTAGTTATGCTAATAGTTTTCTCTCATTTTCGCCGGCTCTTCAACTTGTTTTTTGGTCAGGCATTAACACACGCAAAAAAAAGGTAAAAAAAATTTATTTCTTTGTGGTTTTCACGGGGATTGAAAATCGTTTTGGTTTTGGTTTTGTTTGTTATTTTCTTCTTTTGTTTTTCATTAATTATTTCGTTCGTTTTGGGCTCGCTTTTTTCTTGGAAAGGTCTATAGTTTTACAGAATTATGCTGCAAGTTTGGCCTGCTCCTCCATTTTGGGCTGCTCCTGCTGGGGTTCCTCCTTTTTGATTTCATCTTTCTGGATTTCCTCCTTCGGAACCTCCTTCTCTTGAACCTCCTCCTTCTGGACCTCCATCTTTTGGGCTTCCTCCATCTGGATCTCCTCCTTTGGCATCTCCTCCTTCTTGACCTCCTCCATCTGAACCTCCATCTCTTGGACTTCCTCCTTCTGAACCGCCATCTTTTGGACCTCCTCCTTCTGCTCCTCCTCCATCTGTGGCACCTTTCCGAAGGTGGTCAAGGCCCTGGGGGCCACCTGCTCCTCGGGACCGGCGCTCTCCAGCGACCTGCCCGTCTTCCTCAGGGCAAATCGCCTGTTCTGGGTCAGCAGATCGAAGTAGGGATGGAAGTCGCCGTAGGACACATAGCGGGCATCGCCGAAGGCGGGCTGCACATGTCGCGAGAGTCCGGGCTCGTCGTCATCTCCGACCAGGATGAACTCCTGACCACCCTCGCTGGCCATTTGGGGGGCAGCTGCGGCTGTTTCTCCTCCGGCCATCATCTCCTGCTCCTGCTTCATCTCGGTGGCCTCCATGGCGGGCTTCTCCATGGCGGCATCCATGGCCGGGGCCTTCTCCACAATGGTGCCGGGACGAATGCGGGAGGGCAGTAGGCCTCCAGCCTTCACGGGCTTGGCGGCAATCAGCACGGGCTGGGCAGAGATGGGTTTGATCGAACCCGATCCGGCACCCGATCCCGATCCCGATGAGGAGGCGGAGGAGGGGCTACCATTGCGGGAGGGCGGAATCTGGGGCGGCTGGAAGATGTCCATGAGGGAGGCGTCGGCCAGCAGGGGCACGGCCGAGGCGGTCAGCTGCGGACGCTGCTTCTTGGAGCCCGAGGTGCCCCTCACCGGACTGATGGCGCTCTGCGGGATGTTCAGAATCAGGGGCTGGGCCTGGATGCCCTCGGCCAGGGAGACCACGGACTGCTGATCCGGCGGCGACAGACCCAGCTGGCTCCAGGGGATGGTGATGTACTGGGTGGGACGACCTTGACGCCTCACGGGCACGGTCAGAGGGGGCTGCGGGAAGTTTCCGGCCACGGGCACTCTCTGCCTCTTGCCCTGACCCTGCACATAAGCGTAGGGATAGGGGGAGCTGTTCAGGTTGAGCAGCTCGGGGGCCAGATAGACGGTCTGCCCGTTGCGGTTCACCAGGAAGGTGGTGGCCTGCGGACGGCGGGTCTTCGAGGCGTTGGCTCCGGCCGCAGAGGAGGCGGAGGAGGAGGAGGAGGTCCTCCTCAGGGTGTTGCCCAGTTCGGCGGGTGTTTGACCCCTGGTGAACTGCCTGATCTGGCTGATGATGCTCTGCTGGCCACGCTGGATGAAGTTGGGCTGGTTCTGGCTGCGCCGCGTCGAGGTGGAGGCGTAGAGAGGCTCCTGGTGGAAGTCCTGCTCCTGGCTGTCGTCCTCCTGCACCTGCTCCTCCTCCTCCTCGTCGTCGTCGTCGTCGTTGTTGGCCCCCTCGTCCTCCTCCTCCTCGTCATCCTGGGCCTCCTCGATCACCGGCTTCTTCTGAGCCTTCACCTTCTTGTTGCTGTTCTGGTTAACTGGTTGACGACGCTTCTGGCTGACCACCACTTGCTCCTCCTGCTGGAACTTCCGGCGCTGGTTCTGCGCCTGCACCTGGGTCTGTTTCCTCTGCTTCTTGGGCTTCTGCTGCGGCCGCAGCTCCAGCGAGTCATCGTCCTCGAACTGCTCCAGACTCTGCTCGTCCTCGTCGTCGTCGAACTCCTCGTCGAAGCGGTTGCCCTGCAGGTAGTCATCCTCGTAGTAGTCATCCTCGAAGGAGTCTAGGCGGTTGTTGAACCGATTGGGTCGCTGCTGGCGACGTCTATTATTCATGTTGTTCAGGTTGTTGTTGTTATTCAAATTGCCATTTCGGTTGCCATTCCGCTGGGGACGCTGCTGGACTCGCACCACAATGTCTGGTCGCTGGGTGGTGGTCGAAGTGGTGCTGCTGGTGCTGGTGGTGGACTCACCACGCACCGGGGTCTCCACCAGGCCGGGCAGCTGCTGGCCAGCCGCCTGCAGGCGATCGTTGAACCAGCCGGAAACGGAGCCGGCCAGCGTGGAGAAGGAGGAGCCCAGCTGCTGGGCGGGATTCATGCCGAAGAGCCAGGTGCCCGGCGAGGCTGGGGCACTGGAGCCGGGGGCAGCCGATGCCTGCTTGCCCTGGATCTCCTCCAGCGAGGCCTGGCGCGGCTTGAAGGCGATAAGTGGGTGGATGATGAAGTCGGCCACCGTGTGTGGCTGTGGGGCAGCCTTCTCCTGGATTTCCACTGGTGAGACCATGGAGGGGGCCTCTTGGACGGCCACTACCGGTGGCTTCTCTGTGGGCATCTTGGGAGCCATGGGCGTCTCCTCTGCTCCAGCACACACACACAGAACACACAGTAAAAAAAAGTGGCAAATAACAAAGATAACGAAAACACACAGCACATGAAAAAAAAGAACAAACACAGGGGGAGATTAATGGGTTGGCTGGGGAAAATGGTGGGGGGGGGGTTTATCCTAGCCTATCCTACCAATCAGCGCCATGTCGGCGATGGGCGACTCCGTCGACTGCTCCACCTCCGGAGCCTCGGTCACGGCGGCAGCCAGCTGGCTGAAGGCCACTAGCAGGCACAGGCACAGGCCCACCACCACGAACTTGGTCATGGTTGCTCTCGATGGTTTTCTCGGGGATTTTCTCGGGGATTTTCTCTAGATTTTCTCTAGATTATCTCGGGGGTCTCTACTACACGCACGCAACTCTTTTCTCAACTCGATCTCTGATTTCTAGGGGTCCACAGACAGAGGTTTCTTTTGCCGAACTGTTGGGGGAGCGACGCGACCCGAGCTTTTTATGTGCCGTCTACAAACGGTTTTGGCCAAAAGCCCCTGCTTAGCCGGCCCAAAAGAGCAAGAGATCCAGAGAGTCTGAGAATGCGAGCTGGCTCTAAAGCTCTCTCTCTTCTCCGTATCTCTGTATTGATTGCCCACTCGGGGCTGTAAATCAATTTGCGGTTTCTTGACCGCTGGCCAAAAGAGATCGGGTCGCAGGTCGCTCGGCCAAATATATATCTACAAACTAGTTCCAGGGCCCAGAGTATCGTGAATATTATGGGACTTTATGGGACATGTGCTCACGACCAGGCTTGACTAGATCTCCGATTTAATTGCTACTCAAGAACTCAGTTTCAGAACGTGTCACAACACGTTGTTGGAAATTTATTTGGTCTTAGGTCCTACAAAATTTTTCAAAGATTTAAAATGAATTATTGCATATTTGGTTTTAATGTTATGTAAACTACACACAGTTTTAAAGTAAAAGTTTTAATTCAATACTAAATAATAAAAACCCTTTGATGTATAGTTAATTCGTGATCTTGAGGATTTTAAAATATTTAAGAAACCAAGTATTAAACTTAATTTTAAACTTATTAAATTTAGAGGATGTGATTTATTTTTTAAATTAATATTTAACATTTTATATTCTAACCTAACATTGATATAATATTGAGATCTCTTTTGTAGGACTTTTGTTTGATAAGCATTTTTTAGATAAACTTTAAATTTGTTTGCGTAATCAATTTCGAGCTGCTTAATATTTTCAGTTCAAATATTCATTCGATTAAAATTTGTCAAAATGCAAGGCAACTTGCAATAAAAAACTCAGGTTGACCAAGAACAGAGGCATATTTTTTGTTATTATCCAGGATATTTAATTTTATGACGTGTATTTTTCATGATATTTATTTTGTGTTATAAGCATTTTGTTTATTTTATTTTATTTGAAGTCGGAAAACCATTTAACCATTTTTAGCTTATTAAAATTTGTTTATTTAAGAACATAAAACCCATGCTTTTGTGAAATGGTCAAGATGTTTAAGATATTAAGATATATTAGTATCAAATCGCGTCCAGTTTTATTGGGCTAAATAATGCACATAATTAGATTAAAATCAACAAAATCGATTGCTTTGATTGATACATGTATGGCCTTAAAAATTCTTATTATAAATTTACATATATTATTTATACAATTTTTTTTAAGATTTTGATTATTTGAAGTCTTGTAAATTTCCTAAATCAGTGCCGTATCCAGGATACTTTTGCAACATATTATTTTGAACCCCCTTTTTTCTCCGATGGGTCCACCACTGCCCTAAAGTAGTACCCTAGTAATTTCCGCCCAGCGATTTCTTTTCACCCAATGTGGATCATTGTGCTGATTCCGGGAATCTCTCTTAGCCAGTCCGGTCAAAAATAGAACTTTCCCTACAATACTAACTTTCCAAATATGTTGACCCCTCGGATGATGAGTTGAGATGACCCCTAGTTGAGGGCCAACTTTCTTCTTCGCCACATACACACATACCCACACATACAGACTAGAAACCACAAAAAAAAAGAATTTGCTAATGAGTATTTATGATTTTTTTATGCATTTCCATTAGCATCAAACATCTTGGCTCGGATCTCTTTTGCTCGTTGCTCGGCCAGACCTCAAGGCTAATGAATACATTGCGCTTCTCCCCGCATAATTTGGTTATTAAAACATTTGTTTATGTCGCCCATAATGGGCCGCAAATATGTTTTCCTTTTTTTTTCTCTTTTCCCAGACCGCCCTCGTCATTACAAAGAACTGGCCAACGGTAGCCGCGGAAAATTTAAATAATTGGCGCGGCAATAACATAAATTAGGTAAACCATCGGAGAGTCTGGCAGTAAAAAGTGGAGCACGAAAAAACATGGCACATAAATTAATCATACCACCCGTGGCCAGTGGCCCAAATTCGAAATTAGATCGCACTGCGGTCATCGATTGGCTCCCGATTTTATAGGTTTTTTAGGGAGCCCAATTAATATTCAGGCCAGGGGATCGATATCGGAAATGATTCGATGTAACCGCCCCAAGGAAATCATTTTTGTTTTGGGAAAGTTTCGCACTGCTCACCATAGATTCTTGTAACGTGCGTCACATTAATGTATGATCTTCTTTTCTTTTAGATGTCGAAAAGGTCTGAGGAAAAATTAATATTCGTTTTGTGGTTTTTGCAATAATCTAAAAAATATATATATCTAAGTTATATTAAAATAAATACTGTTTTAGGACAATAATTCAGAATAAAAATATATTTGTTTATGAACATATTATAACAAAATTTCTAAAGGTCGTTGGATTATGTAACTAACTTCTTAACAATTAAAAGTCAAGGTTAATTCAAAGTAAAGCTACATTTTTTACTGCTTACTTAGTAAACAAAATTCAAATGTAATATTTAAATTATATAAGACACAAAAAAAGTCGGAAACAGTAAAATAGAAACACAATAATATTAAAAAATATAAATGTTAAGATTTTTTGTCTATGAACATTGTTTTCTCTTAATAATTGTAAAATTACAATTGACAAGCTTCATAATTTATGAGTTTTTCAAACTCAATGTGATATTAACAAACTACAAAATAAAGTCCAATAGCTTGGTTCAACGGCTCAAAATGTTTCTGTGTCTGTAATAATACTCTTTTAATTCGTCCATAAAGAAATTTGTAAAAGTGCTACTGATAAAAGGAAAATCGTTTGGTACAAGTCTCCAGGCGCCTTTTAAAAACTATTTTTAGGCACTTAAGATTTATGTGGCCCGTTTTGTAATCTCTTGTGTATTAATTGACTTTATTATCGAACAAAGCCTACGGGACAAAACGTTATTGATTTAAATTAGCGAACAATAGGGGAAATAAGAAATAGTGGGCAATAAATCCCACAAACTCATAATCCGTCTTGCCAATATTCCGCTCGGCTCGCAACTTATAGTTCGCTGGGTTAAATATTTAATCTCTGGCACTAAGTGGAGCCGACTTTCAATGGGGTGAATGGAGAAAAGAATAAATTTCGCACTATGATTGATTTAAATGCCCGTTGTTTGTTGCTCCGAATGGGAACACATGCTGGCCAAAAATGGCCAACAGTATGAGATGTGGCCCGAAAAAGCCCCGAACTCTGACATCTGGGGGACGAACAGTGGGACCTCGCCCACTTCGGACAGTGACAAATGGAAGCGGCCTGACTTATTGAAAATCTCACTTTTGACCTCAAAATTGGCTCAAGATTCTTGGCCAGACGGTTCTCTCTTTCGTTTTTTGGCTATTTGTATTTTTCCGTATTTTCGAGACGACCCAAAATGCAAATTTCTCGATTTTTGGTAAGAGGCAAACTGCAACTGGAAATGGAAATGGACCTGCTAAAAGTCAACGTTCTGGGATCTGTCGGTTGTCCATGTTTTCTGTTTCTGGTTTTTGTGCATAAATCAGTCGACATCAGACATTTGCATAGTTTAATAATTTGCCAATCGGCCAAATCCCCTCCAATTTCGCCACATTTTACTTTGTTCTGCCAGGCCACCTAATTTCTTTTGTTTTTCAGGTGATTTTTATGTGTCTCTGCTGTTTCGCCGCCGTCTTTTCGGCGGCCAGGTGAACGTTCCTCCCCTGTATAAAATGTCTTTGCCGGGCACTTGCTGGACCATTTAATAGAGGCCCTCGTCCAGCGACAGAACCAAGTCCAAGTCCAAGTTTAGGCCAAGTCCCGATCCACAAGTCCAAGTCCGCAGCCTCCACATCCCATCATTATGGCAATTAAGTTGGTAGCCCTTTTGGCCATCGGCCTGGCAATCTTGGCCGTCTGCGAAGGTGAGTTTCCGATTGCTGATCGTTAATGATAGTTGTAATTAACGCGCGGTTACTAATTAATAAAAGGCTTGGCCTCTTCTTTGGCAAAGTCCATTGGTTCTGATGGATTTTTCAACATTTCCTTGGAAATTCATTCCATTCTTTTGATAAAATATAAGAACTTTTGCCTTTAAGCCTAAAAATTCTTATTCATAAGACAATATTTTTAATAATTTTATTTTTGGTAGATTTAATTACTGGATAAAGAACTAATTTCTTTTCTGATTTTTTTTTTTTATATTTTGGAACGATCTAAGTGAGGCTTGTTCCACAATCTAGTTGCTAAATCAATTTTTATAATAATAATTTATAATAATTTATAATTAATTCATTATTTTATAAATCATTATGGAGAAACGTTAAAGCAAATTTATATACAATTTTACAAATAGGTATAGTCTTAAGAACTCTTGTTTAATTTAACTTAATCTTATTCCATAAATTTGCTTATTATTTGCAGCCCGTCACGTGAGTGGCCATCGCAGGCAGCACTTCGAGCAGCGGGCGCTCATAGCGAAGCCGCACAGTGGTCCCCAGGGGCGCGTGTTCCCCGGTGCAGTGGCCATCAAGAAGCTGGTGCTGCTGAAGTTCAAGAAGATCGTGCCCATCTCGCTGATCCTGCTGAAGTCGAGCAACGAGAACGAGGCGGAACTGGTGCCCGTCTACCCCACCGACCAGATTCCCGAGAACGTGCAGTTCATCCCGACGCCCAACGGCATCTCGGGCCACAAGGACGTGCAGGCCATCGCCATTCCCGCCGAGCTGCACGACCAGCTGCAGATCAACGGTTTGTCCAACCTGGAGAACATCGAAGCCCTGCTCCAGAGCAGCTCCATCTCGGCGGCGGACAATGAGGGTGAGACCCCGGTGGGCAACAGCATTGCCGTGGCCCAGCCCGAGGATCTGGTGCTGGAGCAGCCGGAGAATGACGAGGATCAGCTGCTGGATGGAGCTGTCTCTCCAGCCGCCGCTCCAGCTTCTGCCGCCCCTGCTCCCGCTGCCCTGCGCCGCCTCTCCGCCGACGAGCTGCTCCGCTCCGGCGTCCGCAACTCCGCCCAGCAGCAGCAGACCAGCGTGGAGGAGATCCCACTGCTGCTGTACTCCGCCAACGAGGCAACCGGATCCCACTCCGTCGGTGGAAACTCCGGTCGCCGCTTCGTGGCCGCCGCTCCGGCGCTGCGTCGTCGCCAGCAGTTCTACAACTAGGATGTCGGACCGGCACCCACCCACCACTTCCCGTCCACTCCTCCTCTCGATGGCTGTCACTCACGGGCTTCACTGTACCACTACTACCTACTACTACCTACTACCCACTACCACTGGCTATTCTTTTTTTTTTTAGACTGAACTGAATATAAATTAACGTTATGAGCGAAATGACAAAAGGGGCGACTTTTGCTTCCGGGTGGTGAAGGGTCTCTTGTGGGTCTGCAGTGCAAAAAGGCTACACTGGCAGAAATTTGGGGGTCAGCAATTAACTCTCAGCGCGAGAGGACATTTTATAAAAGTACTTTAAGGACGGGCCGAATAATGGATAAGAATTTTCCACCATTTTTCATTTATTTCAGCCGAAAGCAATTTTTATTGTTAATTAATTCAAAAAGTTCGTTAAAACTTGTAAAAATATGATAATAGGCGAAAAACACTTACCAACATAATTATTGTATTGTTTGGAGAAACAAATAATTTTAGTAAATTTATTAATCATTTTATAAATTAATGGCTCATAAGATAATCTTTTATATGTTAAAAGGTATGTTACTTATAAAGAAAATTTATTAGGAAAAGGATTGTGAAGTTTATAATGCTATTATATTGAAAGTATTTTTTTGTTTAAAAATTTTATATTTTATAATGAATACCAATGAGGAAATGTTAAAGGAATTTTATTTTAATGGTGAGGCGTTTTCAAAATATTTTAAAAGCTTGTGAACAAGTATGTGGAGCATTAGAAGTTTAAAAATCAAATACAACTAGACTATGCATTTCCACTAATTGAAGGCAGATTTTTTGCTGTGTTGTCGAGAGAGCCGGAGATCCTTGTTTGGGGCGCTGCTTATCAGGCGACTGCAGTTATCAGGCCTTTGTGTTTGGGCTTTGTGCCGCTGACGTGACATGTCCTGTCTGTGCCTCGTCCTCGTCCTCAGCCTCGTCCTCAGCCTCGTCCTCAGTCTCAGTTTCAGTTTCGGTTTCGGTGTCCCGATCCCAGTCCCAGTCCAAATCGCAGGCCCAAAGAGTCCTCGTGTGGCAGGCTGCCAACAAATTTGAGCCAACAAACAAAGCAGCCACAAAACACATGGCACAAATTTTGCTTAGGCGCAAAAGTCAACGGCACAAGAGGCCCAAAGAAAGGCAGCCGCACAACAAAAGCGACACAAAGATGGGACACGTTAACCTGACATTTTTGGGTTAAAGCCACGACTAGATGATGTCCTCCGATCAATTTCAAAAAAACAATGAAATAAATCATCATGACATTGCAAAATAAATTAATGTACAATTTTTCTGCCCATTTCTTTCATACAAGTATTAAAATCCATTCAAAAAATGTCTTAAACATAGCGTTTAAATCGAAAATCCTTTTAGGTCTCTCAAAGTAGAAACTGTAAATGAAAAAGCTTAGAAATACGACAAGTAATTATTATTGTAAAGCCAATGAGTATACGATACTTATTGTCTTCAAAGACCATAGATTAAATATTCTCTTTTAGCCGAACATTTCTTTAAGAAGGAACTCATTCCCCGGTGGTGAGGGTATCAAAACTTTATTTCTTTCCTAGTGCAGCTACCTATATACCCCCCGCTTACCCTGTTGTGTGTCTTATTTGCCGCATTTTTGACAGGATTCCCCCAAGCAACAAGGCCCCCATCCACGGAGATTATGCAAGCGTTTTCCGAATTAGCCAGGCGGAGAACAAACAGAACAAAGGACCTCACGGGACAGACATACGCTAAAAATACTATGCTGTCACACTCAAAAGCCTTCCGGTTTAAGCTTTAAGAGTACATTCTGCTGTTTTCGTTTTACGAATTAACAAGTGAAATCACAATTTACATGAAGTGAAAGGGTGGGGATGATTTAAAAATATGTTACCAATATCCAAAGTGTATACAAGTAGGGACAAAAATATTTGACTGCATACTTTACATCCTAGCGTTTTGGGTTTTTCGGGTTTCAAAAAAACAATTTTATTTTGTTACTTGCCCAAAATCAAACACACAGACATAAAAGCACACTTTTGTACAGCTGGAAACCTAAACTATCCATCCATCAATTTGTTTTGATAAAACATCGATTTTAAAAAAAACGTTTTTTGCAAAAATTTATGTTATGGCCAATTTCCGCATTTTTGATAAAGGGGTACATCGTCAATTTTTCGAAAATTTGGAAAAATTTAAAAATTTTTAACTGTGAATGCCATTTGATTGTAAATTTTATTACGAATTTAACGGTGTATGACATTCAAACATTTGAGCATTATTTCCCAGGGTTTTGACACAAAAACCAAGTTTTTAATGTGTGTTTTGCGAATATTGGCGATTTTTCAAACAAAAATATTTCTGAACAGTCTTTTTGTTGTAACTTTGCCAAAATAAGACCCAAAGTCAAAAGAGTTGCAATTTTGAACAGCTGGCAACCTATGCCATCCATCGCTGATCGATTGAAAACAATTAATTTAGTTTTGACAAAAAAACCGAATTTTGAAAAAAGATTTTTGAAAAATTTATTTATGTCCAAATTTCGGACTTTTTTGTAAGGGGGTACATCATCATTTTTTGCAGAAATTTGAAAATCTGAAAAAATTTTAACTGTGAATGCCATTCGATTGGAAATTTTATTACGAATTCAACGGTGTATGACATTCCAACATTTGATCATTATTTACCAGGGCTTTGACACAAAAACAACATTTTTAATGTGTGTTTTGCGATTTTTGGCAATTTTTCAAAAAAAATTATTTCTGAACAGTCTTTTTGTTGTAACTTTGCCAAAATAAGACCCAAATTCAAAAGAGTTGCTATTTTGAACAGCTGGCAACCTATCCCATCCATCCCTGATCGATTGAAAAAAATTAATTTAGTTTTGACAAAAAAACCGAATTTTGAAAAAAGATTTTTGAAAAATTTATTTATGTCCAAATTTCGGACTTTTTTGTAAGGGGGTACATCATCATTTTTTGCAGAAATTTGAAAATCTGAAAAAATTTTAACTGTGAATGCCATTCGATTGGAAATTTTATTACGAATTCAACGGTGTATGACATTCCAACATTTGATCATTATTTCCCAGGGCTTTGACACAAAAACCACATTTTTAATGTGTGTTTTGCGATTTTTGGCAATTTTTCAAACAAAATTATTTCTGAACAGTCTTTTTGTTGTAACTTTGCCAAAATAAGACCCAAATTCAAAAGAGTTGCTATTTTGAACAGCTGGCAACCTATGCAATTCATCCCTGATCGATTGAAAAAAATTAATTTAGTTTTGACAAAAAAACCGAATTTTGAAAAAAGTTTTTTGAAAAATTTAATTATGTCCAAATTTCTGACATTTTTGTAAGGGGGTACATCATCATTTTTTGCAGAAATTTGAAAATCTGAAAAAATTTTAACTGTGAATGCCATTCGATTGGAAATTTTATTACGAATTCAACGGCGTATCACGTTCCAACATTTGAGCATTATTTCCCAGGGTTTTCACACAAAAACCAAAATTTGAATGTGTTTTTTGCGATTTTTGGCAATTTTTCAAACAAAATTATTTCTGAACAGTCTTTTTGTTGTAACTTTGCCAAAATAAGACCCAAATTCAAAAGAGTTGCTATTTTGAACAGCTGGCAACCTATGCCATCCATCCCTGATCGATTGAAAACAATTAATTTAGTTTTGACAAAAAAACCGAATTTTGAAAAAAGATTTTTGAAAAATTTATTTATGTCCAAATTTCGGACTTTTTTGTAAGGGGGTACATCATCATTTTTTGCAGAAATTTGAAAATCTGAAAAAATTTTAACTGTGAATGCCATTCGATTGGAAATTTTATTACGAATTCAACGGTGTATGACATTCCAACATTTGATCATTATTTCCCAGGGCTTTGACACAAAAACCACATTTTTAATGTGTGTTTTGCGATTTTTGGCAATTTTTCAAAAAAAATTATTTCTGAACAGTCTTTTTGTTGTAACTTTGCCAAAATAAGACCCAAATTCAAAAGAGTTGCTATTTTGAACAGCTGGCAACCTATCCCATCCATCCCTGATCGATTGAAAACAATTAATTTAGTTTTGACAAAAAAACCGAATTTTGAAAAAAGATTTTTGAAAAATTTATTTATGTCCAAATTTCGGACTTTTTTGTAAGGGGGTACATCATCATTTTTTGCAGAAATTTGAAAATCTGAAAAAATTTTAACTGTGAATGCCATTCGATTGGAAATTTTATTACGAATTCAACGGTGTATGACATTCCAACATTTGATCATTATTTCCCAGGGCTTTGACACAAAAACCACATTTTTAATGTGTGTTTTGCGATTTTTGGCAATTTTTCAAACAAAATTATTTCTGAACAGTCTTTTTGTTGTAACTTTGCCAAAATAAGACCCAAATTCAAAAGAGTTGCAATTTTGAACAGCTGGCAACCTATGCCATCCATCCCTGATCGATTGAAAACAATTAATTTAGTTTTGACAAAAAACCGAATTTTGAAAAAAGATTTTTGAAAAATTGATTTATGTCCAAATTTCTGACTTTTTTGAAAGGGGGTACATCATCATTTTTTGCAGAAATTTGAAAATCTGAAAAAATTTTAACTGTGAATGCCAGTCGATTGGAAATTTTATTACGAATTCAACGGTGTATGACATTCCATCCATTGACCATTTCTTCCCAAGGTTTTGATACAAAAACCGATTTTTAAGGTGCTTTTTTTGGGTTTTTAGCGATTTGTCAAAATAGGATAAACTGAAAAATTGTTAACTGGGAATGCCATTTGATTGGAAATTTCATGACGCATTTAAGCATGACATTCCATCTTTTGACCATTACTTCCCTGGGTTTTGATAAGAAAAGTCGATTATTTAAAAAGGTGAATTGGTTTTTGGAGAGTTGTTTCTTAGCTGTATTATTTGTTGCCGAAAAAAAAACTTATACATATACAAAAAATGTGTCCAATTGGGGTATAATAAGGCTATGGTTTATGTTTTATCGACCGTAGTAGGGTGGTGGCACGTAGATGGTGACCCTCCTGCCATTGCCGCTGCTGCTGCTGGTGCCGTTGTTGTACAACCGACCGCAGGGCGGCGGTCCGTAGTAGGTGAATGTGCACACGGTGCAGCAGTTGATGGGCGTGGCCACCACCATAACGGGCGTATTCCTGTTCGGATAGATGGGTGGGTAGGGGTAGGGCATGGGTTGCGCTGGAGGTGGCGGAGGGGGCAGTGGCCTTGGAGGGGGAGGTGGTGGTAAGTAAGGAGGCCTGCCGGGGGCACAGCAACTTTGTGGGGGTGGTGGAGGAGGTGGCGGGGGAGGTGGCGTATAGGAGGGATCCACCACGTAAGTCTCACAGCAGGTCTGCCTCTGGAAGGCCTCCAAGGTGCAGGGCGAGACGCATGAGTTGAAGAGTCCGCTGATCCAGTCGTAGATCAAACTGAAGGTCCGCCCCTGACGCTGGGTACTGTCGTAGGGTCCGAAGGTATCTATCGATGTGTTCAGTGGCGGCGATTCCCGTCCGGAATTCTTGGGGTTTTCCGGCTGCAAGTCCTCCAAGCGAGACGACGAGTGGTTAAAGTACACATACTCAAAGTTGTCGTTGATCGAAGTGGCCCTGGTCGAAGTGCTGTTTTGGGGGCGTGGCAGCCAACGCTGCAGACGAATCTTTTGCTGAGCACGATGCCGAACTGGGGGTTTAAGCATTTTAATCTTCAATAAATAAAGTAAGTGAAAGATCAAAGAAAACATTCCATGTCTTTCACCAATGTGGTGGCATAACTCTTTCGTGAAACACCTACTTGAATAGTGGATTAAATATAACAGAAACAATGTTGTAACTAAACAACGCCACTTATAACTTTTTAAAACAGTAAAACACAATCAATAAATTGAAAAAAAATACATTTAAGAACCTGATGTTGAGGGAACTCAAAGCCTCATGACATTCATAATTTCCATTTAACATTCAACAACATTCAACACCATTCAATACCATTCAAAAACATGCAATCATTCAACAATGTTCAACAAAATCTAACAACATACAACAACCACTTTAAAACAGTGTAATAATTCAACGATTTGGTGCTAAAAGTGTGTGTTTAAGTTAACAAAATGCATTTTAATTCTCGTGCTTTTGCGTGGGTGACAAAAAAAAAGTGGGTGTGTGTTTAGGGAATGTGTAAAACTAACGTCCGTAGAATCCGAAGCCACCGAAGCCGCCGAAGGCGTTGCTGTTGGCATTGGCGCCACCACCGCCGAAGCCGCCGAAGCCACCGAAGCCACCGCCATTGGCGCCGGCATTTGCGCCTGCACCACCGCCATTGCCGGCACCACCCGCATTCGCGTTGGCATTGGCATTGGCGGACTGGCCATTCTGGGCGGTGGCCGAGGCACTGCTCGAGGCCGAGTTGCTCACAAAGCCGCCGGGACCACGTTGGCTGTTCGTCTGGGCATTTGTCTGGGCGGTGGCATCGCCTTGGCCATTGTTGCCCTGGAAAATGCTCTGGCTGTTGGCATCGCTGCTGGCATCCTGCCGATTGCCCTCCCGCACCACCTGCGAGTTGGTGTTGGCCGTGTTCGTCAAGGAGCCGTACTCGTTGTTGTTCGTCGAGGTGGAGCCGCTGTTCGAGGTGTAGGTGTCGCGATCGCCCTGCTGCGTGTGGCCCGTGTTGGCGTTCGCACTGGAGGCCTGCTGCTGGCCAGGTCTGAAGTTCAGGGCCTGGCTCTGCGAGTTCTGGCCGCTCTCGAAGCCGCCGTTGGCCGTCTGGCCCTCGTGCGTGTTCGTGTTGGCGGAGGACACCTGACCACTGCTGCCGTCCTCGGCCAGATTGGAGCCAATGGAGCTGCTGCCCGTGTTGCCGGGACTGGCGTGGTTGTTCGTCGACGCCTGCTGGTTGAAGCCGGGTCCTCCCTGGGCATTCGCGTTGCCCTGCGCCTGGTTCTTGTTGCCCTTCTTCCTCTGCTGCTGCTGCTGCGGCTGCTGGTAGTATTCGTTGCCAAAGCCAGGTCCCTCGCCTCCAAAGCCAGGGCCTAAACGGGGGTTCAGAGGTAATTTAAAATATCAGTTGGTTGGGGAAACAACAATAGAGCTTAGAAATTTAACATCTTGTATGTTATTAACATCTTGTAAAAGCCATAATTCGTTTAAAAAATGTTAACCACCATTACACATTGCGTATACGTTATATTAAGAAATCTAGAAATTGCTAATTAATTTGACAGACTTACGTCCTCCGAATCCTTGGCCTCCGAATCCTTGGCCCCCGAAACCTCCGCCTCCGAATCCGCCGCCAAACTGCCTGCGCGGCCTGTCGAGTCCCAGACCGAAGGGTCCAGGGCCGAAGCCACCGCCTGGGTAGCCGAAGGGCACGAACTGGGCCCTCCGCTTGGGCCGCCTGTAGGCCACCTGTTGCTGGAAGGGACCGCCGAAGCTCTGGCCATTGGTGGCCGCAGTGCCGCCAAAGCCGCCGGTGCTGGCCGAGGTCTGACCCCTGCGCGTCTTGCCAAAGGCATTCGAGTTGGCCCGCGTGTCGGTGACGGTGACGCCGCCAAAGTGCTGAGTATTCGACTGCGAGTTGCTGTTCGAACCCACCCTGGCGCCCTTGCCCTGGGCATTCACCTGGGCCTGGGCGAGCGTGTTCGGATTGGCCACGTTGCGATCCAGGTCGAGATTGAGGAGTCCCAGGCCCAAGCGCAGGTCACCGTCGGAGCCGCGCTTCAGGCCGAAGCCATTCTGCAGGTTCTGGGGCGACAAGGAGGCGCCCAGACCCACGTTTCCGATCCGGAACTGATCGGCAATGCCCTGCGACACCTGGCCGTTGGCATTGGTGCGGGTGCGGGTCAAGGTGTTGCCCAGCTGCAGGCCGCCCAGGTCCACGTCCCTCGTCTGGGCCTGGCTATTGGTCACCACGCGCTGCCCATTCTGCTTGGTCACTGCCCGCGAGTTGGACAGACCCTGCGTGTACTCCACATTGTTGCCGAAGTCCACCTGCCGCTCGTAGGCATTGGTGTTGGCCTTCGACACGGATCCCTGTCGCTGGCGGGGCTGCTGCTGGAACACCTGCTGCGGCTGTTGGTAATAGACCAGAGGTTGAGGTTGATACTGCCTGTACTGAAGCGCCTGCTGCGGCTGGCGGTATACCTGTTGCAACTGCGGCTGCTGGAAGGCGAACGGTCCCTGCGGCTGGAACCCAAAGCCTCCGAACTGCGCCTCAGCTGGAAAAAAACACAATAAATATTAGGAAATGAATAACATTAAAAAACACATTTAAACTCCTCCTTTCCAAATGAATTTAAGCCACTCTATCTCTTTTCCAAAAAAAAAATTAACTTTCCGCCATACACTACGTATACGTAATAATATTGCTCATACGACACGCTGTCCTTACTGTGATTCCATCTCAAAACTCTGTCACAATCAATTCTAAGACTTATAATAAAAATTATTCAATTTCAGCTACACTTTTTTCAATAGAAATTTACTGCGTATAAGTAATAATATTGCTCATACGCCGTGGTGTCTTTACTTCAATACTATCTGAATTACTGTTACAATCATTCACTTAGGTTGTCATCAAATTAAGTAATGATATTAATTTATCTTCTTGTAAAACTTAAACTATTATGCTTTTAGTTCGATACCATCTTACAAATAAAGGATAAACAGATATACTGATAAAGTGATTTGCATTATTTGGCATCTAAAATAATTAAAATTTTGTACAGTATAAGTATAAGATTTTTTGAAAAACAAAAAAATCATTTTATGACTGTTTCTTCATCAATTTTATGACAACCAAATCAAATGACTCAACATAAATTACACATTATTAAGACAAAGAATGTTGCTTACATTTTTTTAGCCTAAAAAATATATGCCAAATGAACTTTATAGAACAAGTCCAGTTCGCTTCTTAAAATTGCAGAGCTGTGCATTCAAATAAAAAATAAATTCATTACAGGCTAATAGGTTTTGGGATTCAAGCGACATTTCAGCGTTTTTACTTGCAAGTAAAGCGAGCGTAAAAAGTGGTAGCAAACATCAGTGGAAAGTTCCGCAAGTTGCCATGACAGCAGTCAAAAGTAAACACAAGTCCCCAGCGCGATGCATTTATAATCTTTTCGCAAACTTGTTCCACACATTTTATTTCATTCTATTGTATTCCTCCACCGTTTTTAAATTCTTGTTCGCTTTTATTTGTTATATGGCACAGAAACGAAAGAGATGGCTAAATGCGAAAAAGAGATGGATGTGGGGAAGATCTCTAACTGGTTTATCTCAAAAATTTTGTTTAATTTAAAAAAGTCTGGCAACAGGTATGGGTAGAAAAAAAAAAGATATTGTCTTCTCTTTCTCTTTCGTTACTAGATTTCGACAGTTCTGAATAAAATTTAAATTGGTTTTGTAAATTTATTATTTATTATATTTATTTAAAAATCTTTAAGAATTTGTTTAACTAAAAAATGTCTGGCAACAGGTATTGTTAGAAAAAAAGATGGAAATTATGGTATTTTATGGTAGGAAGATAAAAGAAAATAGATATTTAACGCAAGTCGATACTGATCCTCCGGAAACCTCGTGTTTTTCCGATAATACGGCTTAAAAGGCGGCTAGAACAGGGATAAACCTTTAGGCTTTTGATGTCGTTTCTACCTCGCCATCTTTCTCTTTCTTTTCCCACATTTCTGTCTCTTTCACCGTTTGTGAAAGAACACTTTCCTCTGTTTTTCTGTTGACAATGCAACGCACGTAGGCGCAAAATCCAGCGATAATTTTGCAATTATTGCTGTAATAACAAAGGCTTGTGTGTGTGTGTGTGTGTGTGTGTGTGTGTGTGTGTGTGTGTGTGCGTGGGGTATATATCCTGTCATTATGTCCTGTCTATGCCCGATTCCCGGCGCCATGGCGTATTCCAAAAATATTTACCTTGCGGTTGACAAACTGCCAGCCAGCACACAATTAATCCAACAAATGCGTGTCGCATCCTGGCTGCGTATCCGTATCCGTGCTTCTGCGTCCTCCTGTTTTCCGTACACCCGTGCACCCGTACACCCGTAACTCTCGTCCTACCCGTACTCTGAAAATCCGTATTCCGTTGCCGTACACTTGCCGTCCTGCTCGCACCTCAACTGGGTGGCTAATTTTCCGTTGCCGTTGCGAAAACAGCGCACGCAATGAGCGCGTTTTTGGCCGCTGGCCGACTTTTATTGTCTCTCCGCCGTGTTTTTTTGCGGTCCGCTGTTCAGTTTGTTGTTCCGCCGGTTCTTCTCTGCAACTCTTCCGCTCTCACTTCACTGGAAAAAAAACTCCTCTTCCCCCAAAAATAGATGTGAAATAAACATTAGCACTTCAAAAAACATTTTGGTTGCACAGGTATATCACCGCGCTTTTTAAAAATTTCTTGTTTATATTTCCATAAAAAAAAATAATTTTCTTGGCAGATGTTTTCATTGAAATTGTATTAAAATTTCATTAAAATCACTGAATAATTTATATTATAAATCTTACTATCTTTTATTTTAATTTACTATTTAAGCAAAATTTAATTTTTAAAAGCTCTTACATAAGATCCCCAATTTTGTTTATTAGACTGTCAGACGTCTGTCATTTCATTAATATTATAGTGAATACACATTTTTCTTTTAATTTACTAGGGAATAAAATATATTTTTTTTCCGTGTACCTCTCTGGATTTTTTGGGTTTTCAAACACGTTTTCGGAGAGCGCGATGGAAGTTGTTGGGTGTCGGACGTTCCGTTTCGTTCTAAGCCCGTTGCCGGTTTGTTAATCGGGCTTTAAACTAATCAATAATTAACGCCCGACTTGACGTCCAACCGTCAATATGCCTATTGTTCGCTGCGACAGACCCCCGAAAAAAAACGAAAATCACGTTTTTCTCGTTTGGTGGGGGGAACAATAAACAAACACTTTGTCTGATCACTTTTCGACGTTGTTTTTTTCCTGTTTCGATCACAAGCTCGAATTGTTAATTTTTTTTCTTTTAGGCTTACGTTAGAGGATTTCTCTTTGGGGGGATTTTTTCACGGAGAGAAAGGCTTACATGATTATCCGGGCATATATTTGAATCACTTAAGGTTCTCCAGTCAAACAGAGAAAGCCCTGAAGTGAAATGATGCCTTGATGGTCATTGTTATATTGATTTTATTTGTAAAAATCTTTTTTTAAGTAAGCACAAGCCATTTAAATTGATTTGAATTTATGAATTTTTAAATTATTAAACTCAACCACATTTTTTTGAAATAATCTCAAACCATTTTAAAGAACTCTTGAACTGCTAGGAAAATGATTAAAATATTCTTCAAAATCTAATTAAATTCTGAAATAATTTTACAAGACTTCAAAAATGATTTACATTCAACGAAATAAAACAAGATTAATATTTAATGCTAATTTAAAAAAATATATATATTACGCTACATCTTAATGGTTTAAATTTTGGCAATTGAAATTAATGTTCTGTCTAACGCCATGTTTATAAAAATCTCGTTTGAATGTCGAATAAATACACACCCAATAATTGTACTTTAACTGACTTGCTAAACCTTTTGAATGACTCTAATTTTTCGGGGTAATTCCCATCATCGACCTTAGCACAAGTGGGCATTCGTATGAATCCCCGGCTCACAGTTTCGGTTTTGATTTCCGCTGAGCATCTGCCACTTCATGGTCAAGTTTTGAACTTCAAATGAACGCGCTGTAGGTCAATTGAAATCCGTTCGCTGGGCGCCACGTTTTGGCCCCCTCTTACCCCATTTTTGGCCATCTGCCACCCCGCTTTTAGCCACTTGTAAACCCCTTAAAGCCCCTCCCGAATAAAACAAAAAACGGCAGCCTCCACATTTGGTCAGCAAACAGACAAACAAATAGAAGCATCGACAAAAACCTGTCTTGACTCGCCTCTTTTTTATTTGTTGATGTTTTCTTTTATTGACAAAAGTTTTTAGCGCTCTTTTCGGGTGGCAGGGGTTAAAATGAACCCGTCCCGAGAACAAAGTGAGTGAGTGTGTGGAATAAAATTAAGCCAGCAGGTTCTAACTAATGAAGTTGTAGATACATTTGTATCTTTCGAATGGGCTGCTTCCCTTTATGAATTAATTGAGCTGCTAATAACGCACATAGCAAGCTGATTTGCAGGTCGAGAAAGGAGCTAATATCTTTAAAAAAAACGCCTTTTTTCGACTAATTAAGTACCAAATATTGATTTAAATTCTAACCAAATACATATACTTAGCTTTTAATATTTGGAAGTTTTAAATATTTTTATAATAGGCTAAAAATATGGAACTTTTATCTTTGAATATACCTAAAATAAGAAGAAAAACTGGAATAGGCTTTCTCAATCTAAAATACCATAAAGTTTATACCAATAGTGAATAATTTAAATGTATGTTATATTGAAAATTTCTGTATTTGTGACATCTTCTACTAACAATATTTCTGGCTAATAATGTGCTATTCTGTTTTTTTTTTGGTTGAAATTTTGTTTACAAATCGAAATTTGTACACTGCAAGAAACCAGTGAACGGTAACAACAACAAGGCCAAAGTAAATTGGGTCAACACACACACACACACACAGAGGCAACTTTCGCTGGAGAGAGGGAGAAAGAGAGAGTGTGTGTGTGCGTGTGCGAGAAAGGGAGGGCCTCACTTCAGTTTGGTGTTCGATATAAAAAATTGGTTTTTATTGTTATTTCATTTCTAGCGTTTATCGGTCTGGCGGCATCTTTACGCTGACGATTCCCCCTTTTACCCCTCACTTTCTGGACGAGTTCCCCGTCTCTTTTCGACCGAGCTCCCCCATCCCTTTCTGGCCAGCTTTTATGGTTCTGCCTTGAACGCGTGAAATGGAGTAGAAAAATTGTTTTTCTATCAAAGGCAAAATATCGCAGCAAACTCTCAAGCCCCCCCAAACGTACCCTTTCCAAATATTTTTCCGTTTTTTTCCCCCATTTTGTCCCCCTTACCCCGCTTTCCCCGCTTTCCCCCCTTTCTATCAATTTAATGCCCACAACTTTTCTGGACACGCGGCTTTAACTTTTTTGTAACTTTTTTTATTTTTATATTTTATTTTTGGTTTGGCCGCTGGTTTCTGGTTCCATTTGCCGATGCTCTCGATGCCACTTGTCCTTCGCACGAAACTGTCTGACTTTGATTTGCGCTGCTAATTGGAGTTTCATTTGCTTTCGATGGGGAACATGCATACGTATTGAGCACTTTACGGAGGGCGAGTCCAGGGGTAAACGTAAGCCCTTATTTGAATTTGAATTCACTTCGGTGCTGTGTTCTGAGTGTTTTCACTTGCCGGGCAAGTTCAATTTAATAACATTCCCAGGTTAGGCCTTAAACAGTAATTTTTCCCAATTCAATGCAATTATTTCTCTTTCCTTATTTACAACAAAATAAACTGATATTAATTATTTTAAAAAGTGAAGTAGGAAACTCACCAAGTGAGCCTAACCTTCTATAAAACCAATAAACATGTTTAATAATTTTGAATTTGATGTAATAATATTTATTTGTATTTATTTGCATGCGGAATATAAGAAAACCTGAATATAAACTAAAAACCAATTGATGGTTTTATTACTTGTAAAATATGATACATTAATAAATCTAGATCCACAATTCTTTTGTAGTTATTGCTATACCAAAGAGGACTTTTCATCTCTTAAATGTTACTTTTGAAATTCTTTTATTTTTTGGCGACTGATGAGCATTTTATGATAATTTGTCTTGACAAATTTTTTAAGTTGCAAATTTTGTTAGCTGAAGTTGGCGAGATGCAGACTCAGACACAGATACAGATACAGTTGCGGATGCAGATACGTTGTGCATTCGGTGAGCCATATGTTTGTCTAGGGTTGCCACGCACACATATGCCGCACATCCTGGTTGCCCTTCCGTCGTCCTTCGTCCTGAAGGTCCTGTGTTTGTTTCCAGTTTACTTCTGCCGCGTCTGCATTGCGTCTTTTGTTATTATTACATTTTCATAAATGCAAAAGATACAGATACAGATACAGATACACACACGAGGACTCGTTGATAAATTCAGCAAAGTTTTGTCTGCCATGCGGCTCGTTAGCTGCTCGTCTTTCGTCCTCAGTCCTTCATCCTTTGCCGTGCAACCCCCAACTTTATACGCATGAAAAATTGCCTCCAACTGCAGCGCTGAAATAAGATATTTCAATTTTGTATTGTAATTTCAGAACTTAAAATGTAATTTTTGAAGACATAAGGGAGTCCATTGTTTGGCACCCACCTAGCCCTCCCCTCTCCCTCCCCAATCCCTGACCTTATCTTACGTTCGGTTTCCTGCTGCTTTTGGTCCCCTTTTCCTTTCAACTTGGGCTCCTAACTTCTTCCGAAGTAAACCCTTGTGTCTGCCGGATAGATGGTTCAATATACATATATATAAATATATATAAATGTATAAGCCAGACATAGCCAACTACAGAGAAAACAATATTTTCATATTTTCAGGTAGACATTTGGTCTTATTTTGTTTATTGAAACTTTTATAGAACTATTTTCTTTATAGAAAGCTTAAGAAAATTGGTTATTTAACATTTTATGATGCTATAAATAAATACTTTATTAATTAGTCACGATATTGGTCTCATTAAATTTTAAAGTGATTATATACAAATATTTAATAAAACAAAATATAGAATATTATAACATTTCAAAAAGTATATTTAATTAGTCAAGTTCTTCATACATTTTTGTCACAATATTTTCACAAGTATTTATATTTCAGGCATTACCGTATAAAAAATGTATACAAAATAAATCCAATTTTGTGGTGGAACCTTACATTTTCTCGCTGTGCTTAACCCACCCCGGGCCTTACTTAACCCCTTGCCACCACCAATTGTTGCTTCTCTTTGGGAAATTATGCAAACAGGCCAAAAAACGACGGGGCCTCAGACAAGAATGAGATGTCTCTTCCTTCTCCTTCCGCCGGACTCGCTTTTTGCCCTGTAATAAAGTAGCAACTGCACCACCATCACCACCACCACCACCCAACCACCTTCTTCGTTTTAACTGCATAGGCGGCACTTTTTGAGACCGATACCCTGGAATAGGCCGTAATAAATATCGCAATATTTGCCCAAGTTTACCTAGCCAAAAATTTGCCTAATAAATAAAGTATTTGAGGC